CCGCCGCTGCAAAATATGTCGCTCCAGATGTTAATGTAATTACTAAATTATCCCCATCAAGTCTTAAACGATAAACAACATATTTAACACGAAAAAAGATCCATGAACCGCAATAAAGCAATCGTGCATTGAAAATAGTCTGAGCGTTGACGATAATGATGGAAATGTATATAAATAACTTTTTTTCATTATAATCCAATGCCAGTCTACAAATGAGTGTCTCTTACTAATGAAGTGCACATAACTGTTTTCAAAGTTTTAATTTACATCATTTAATTTTAATTATTAAGAAAACAAGAAGTGCTTTTAACAGAAATCGTTCATGTATAATTTGAATATTCTTAATTGTTACAAGTGATAGAAGTATTATTAGTAAATTAGCGTCATTTACTTGATTCTAAATGCCTGTTCTTTCTGACACTTTGCAGTTTTTAATTTAAAAGTTTTTTTTCTACGTAGATACTGCAAAACTAATGCTGAATATTTTCAATATCATAATACTTTATGTTCTTGCGGCACTTCTTTATGAACTATTGATAATATTAAGCTTCGTTTTGTTCTATACCAGGGGTAACAGTATTGCTTTATCATGATATTTTGTAAATACATCTAACAAATGAATAGAAGTGACAGAGGTTTTTGTTCGTAGCTTTGACGTTGCATAATTTAATGTAACCAAAAATTTTAATTTTAATTAGTTCAAATAAACTAATAAATTCATTTGCTAGTCTGAATTTATTTGAACCATTGATAAACGATAATTCCAAGGATGGAAAAAAATTGCTTTTCAAGATTAATTACTTCTAACAAATGAACAAGTATTACTATAAATCTGTTTAGGTTTTTATTCATCTCTGTGAAATCGACATATTGAGAACAAGAAACTTTAAGCAGCTTGGAATCAGGTCGCATGAGTCCAGCATTCATATTAATTTTTCTATTATTGAACTGATATTTGCCAAAACTTATCTATTAAAATTCAATTAGTCATTCCGGAGTATATCATTATTCAGATAATGCTCACATTTCAATAGATAAAAACAATGATTATTGATAAAGTTATTACTATTTCTACCAGTTTGTTTTAAATGGGAGTCATGCGTTCTTTGACCTTTTTGATATTAAGGATTAAATAGAAAATCAAAAGCATCGTATGAATATTATAACTTCATAAAAATTAAAATAAAGAATTGTTTTTCAAAAATATTTTTAACTAAACAGAGAAAACCATGCTTACTATATTTTACTTGAAAAAATTATAATAATAATTAAATTCAATGTCACTTATAAGTATTTATGTACTTATCGAAAACAATCAGTTTAACAAAAACGAAAAACAATCATCCTTCTATTCGTAATCTTTCATAAGGTCGGGATTAGCGTTTGATTTAGTTTATTGTTTTCGATAAAAAGAAATAACAGAGCACAAACGAGATCGACAATGACAACAACACAATACGGCAAATCAATGTACTTCGAACAACCTTATGCTGCTCCGCAGCCACAGCTAGCCTTAAGACCTCCTAATCGAATGAATCTACGACGAAATTCAACGTTACGTTATTTTCTAATTTGTATGGGCAGTCTTTGTTGTTTACTTATTATTGGTACTGTTATTTCATTATTTGTTTACTTTTTTTTTCGCTATCGAAATAATATCTCATCTCTTTTATCCTATCCTGAATTTGTTTGCAGCCAAAGGCCATGTGGTTGTCCGAATTATAATTATGGGCAATCTTCAACATTGAGAATTGTTGGTGGTAAAGATGTTTTACCATTTACTTATCCATGGCTCGTTACAATAGTTGATCAATATGGAATAGATCCTTTTTGTGCAGGATTCATCATATCTTACAATACAATTCTTACTGCTGCACATTGTTTAATCGGTCGAAATCCTAAGCAATTACAAATACTTGCAAGGATTCATGATCTTCGTCAATTCAATGGTGAACGATATGATATTGAAAAATGGTACATTCATCCTGAATATACATTCAATGTTAGTATGCAACTCAATGATATCGCTATAGTTAAAATAAACCGAGTTTTTTCCTATGATCTTCGACCATGTTGTCTTCCATCAGTAAGATCATCAATGTATCCTGAACCAAAAACAGCTGCAGTTGCCAGTGGTTGGGGAAAACTAGCATCGAAACCAAATAGTCGAAGTTCTCCAATTCTTCAACACGTTGTTATGCCTATTGTTGATGAAAACAATCGAAAATGTCGTCAATCATTGGTTGATAGCAATCGGCAATTGTGTGCTGGTTATGATAAGCTTTCGATTGACACATGTTCAGGTGATAGTGGCAGTCCTTTACTAGTTGTCGAATACAGTAATAAAAAACAAGGACATTTTGTTGCAACTGGAATCGTTAGTTATGGAAATAAGCAATGTGATGCATCGGTTTCTTCTGGTGTTTATACGCGTGTAGGTTTTTATCTTCCATGGATTGAACGTATCCTATCCAATGTGCAATAAAAATGTTAATATAGCTGAGAAAAGGTTGCAATTCGCTGTATGACACTCGGATAATGTTAAATAAAAGAAAGAAAAAGTAGCATGTCGTAAGACAATTTATAAGCCAATCATTTCATTTTCTGTTACTGTTTCGTTGCTTGTCAAAAAAAGCAGTCTCGTGCATGGATGTGATGCTTGACGACGAGTAAACAGAAACCAGATATAAATAAAAATAGACATTGCTACGACATATTTCATTGGTGCATAAACAAAAAAAAATTAAAGTTTCAGTTATTTAAAAAAAAAACACTGTTTTCAATGCCAAAATGTTAGACGGATGCATGTATTGAAACTACGACAGTTATTAAAAATGATAGTCCTACTATATTCAATGTTAGGACACAAACCTCAAAGATCGTTTCTTTTTCAAATTAAACTAATAGCTATTTCAGAAGAATAATTATTTTTTTCTAATGATAAAATATTTCAACACAATATCAATGGAAAAGATAGACTCTGAGAAAACATACAATTATGACTTTCTTGAATTTATTTTCATTGATTTTTGTTAACATGAGAATGAGAGTGACGTTAACACATCGGTTCATTAGATATTACTGAATAGAGATGATTGCCGGCATTAACGAATACAATTCATCTATAGAAAGAAAGAAAGAAAGAAAGAACTTACTGTTAAAATCAAGTTATGCATTAATGTTATTATGTACTTTTCAGCTGATATACTCCGTAGAATTTCACAGTCACAAGACTTAGTCATGATATGTTATAAAAGTTATTTTTAATTTTTTGATTAACTCATCAATAACGTCTATAATACTATATAAGTTTCAAGTAGATTATCTATTCTTGAAAATAAGCTCGCAGACTTCTTTTCATACCATATTTTAATTATATACTGTTTGCGAATAGCTAAATAATTAAGTTTTCTACAATCCACGTGACGCTATCACATATAAGTTCCTGAATATGCAGTGACAGAGAATTTGATTGTGTAATACTAATTTCATGGGACAAAAAGTTTGAATGATCCAGATGATTGCGGCGTCATGAAAGAAAACATTTACTTATTAACAAGCACATCATTAGCTAAACTTCTTGTTTTTTTGTTTTTTATTGTAGTTAGAAAGTGATGATATAATGTTCTTTAAGAGTCTTTCTATTAAGCATATGTTGTACGAGTGTGTGTGCATGTGACCGTACCAACGTTCGAAGTTCTGGCTCAGTACATTCATTTCATAAGAGCACTGTAATTTCCTCTCCTTGTTTTTCTCGGTCGATTTTCATGTAATTCATATCCAAATAAGAAAAAGGAAATGTTCTCGCATCTCTAATGATAATTTTTCTAAAAACGCATGAATATCTAAAAATAGATCAAGAAAATGCCTTCCCTTATTTTACATCACACAATCACCATTCCAACTTGTTTATATTTTACAATAAAATTAGATTATGGTTCAAAATACAAAAATTTTCATTAATAAATCATTTTTCTTTTTCATTTGTATAGAAAAAAATAAATACGCATGTCATTTTATCTAGCAAATATAGAAATCAATCGGGTTAAGTGCACATTCAACAATAGGCAGAAAAGAACGAGAGATTATAAAATTTTTTAAATATTTGAATAAAGTAAACGGAAGAAAAAAATCTGACATTTGATGTCACTTCGCAGCTTGTTCGTTTTGTTGTTGCTGTTGCTGTTTTTTAAATTAAGGTCCATTACTTTCGGCAGCATATTCCTTAACTTTATTGTTATATTTTAAACATAAGGCAGCTTTTGTTTCTTCCGTATTACGTAGTGGCTTGGATTGGCCAACACTTAATATCCATGGATGAAGAAGAATTTCATCAGCACGCATTCTTTTATGTCGATCGACAACTAGTAAATGATCGATTAAGTTTTTTGCATCTAAAATTTAAAAAAAATGAAGTAAAATACATCTCTTCTTATTATCATTGTTATGAAATATGCTTACTTGCTGAGATCGCACTCCAATATTCAGCATCGTAAACATATTTTCCGCGTTGAATCAATTGAAATAATGTTTCTTGATTACGGTCAGCTGTTTTAAACGGTGGATAGCCACAAAGTAGAATGTATAAAATTATTCCTGTTGCCCAACAGTCTACCTCAAAACTGTAACCTAAGTGCAAATAAAATAGTATAACAAAAACAATTTTTTTTTCTCTTTTTTTTATTAAAATAAATTTATGTGTTACCGGTTTCAGCAAGTATTTCCGGCGCGACATAGCTGCAACAAAAAAGTTTACATAGATTATTATTTGTTCCTTTTATTTTATTTTTGAAATAAATAAAGACATACGTTGGTGTTCCACACACTGTTTTTATGGGCCCAGACACTTGCATAGCTAAACCAAAATCCGTTAATTTAATTGTAATGCGCCCATCTTTTCTTTGCATAACTAATAAATTTTCTGGTTTCAAATCTCTATGAACAATTTTTTTTGCATGTAAATATAAAAGTGCTTCGCCCACATCTTTAATCATTAAGGATGAGGTCGGCTCATCAAAACGGCGATGTTTTGTTATATAATCAAATAAATCGCCACCTTTAATTAATTCCATAACAAGATAGATTTCTTCAGGAGTTTCATAATCTTCAAATAGTCGGATCAGATTTGGATGATTACACATGTACATAATATTTATCTCATGATCAAGCATATATTCTTTGCCCTAGTGAATAGAATCTGATTGATTTTTATTTCAAACAATTTTCTTCTTACCTTCATCTTTGATTTATCAATTATTTTAATAGCATATTCACGATCAGTACCGCGTAATTTTGAACGATGTACAACAGCAAAATTTCCATCGCCCATTTTTTTACCAAGCTCATATTTATCAGTGATCACAGTAGAAGAATTATGCTGGTTAAAGAAAAAAAAAAGAATACTTATAACGAAGAAAATCATAAATATTCTTACTAAAGCAGATGAACGTTTTTTGATGAAAAACTTTTTCGATGCTGCTGCCGTTGATAATGTTGCAGCTGTGGCACCTACTGTCGGCGTTTCATTATGACTTGGATCATTTTCATCATGATTCGTTGGCATACTGATACGAGGTACTGGTGTAGTCGATGCTGGTTTATTTAATGCTTTTACTGCATTGCCAGTAGCCAGAGGGAAATTTGGAGAAAATGTACCGGTACCTGTTGTTGGAGTTTTAGATTTATTAGTACGAGATTCATCATTATTAATGTCAACTGCTAATGTTTCAAATTTAGGTACCGGGTGAGTTGTTGCTGTTGGGTGATACTCTTTTCGAGCTAATAATTTTTTTCGCCGTTCATCTTCTTCTCGTAAACGTTGTCGTTCACGTTCTCGTTGTTGTTCAATAGTAAGTGTAGTCGTTGGTTTGTAAGTTGTTTCTTTAGCAAACAAAAACAATGCAAGAAGTCAAGTGAAAGAGTCTTAGAATTTTGTAGAACAGAAAATATTCTGTTCTGAACGAATTGCATCAGAGTAAAGTTGTATAATAAGATTCTTACTTTTCAATTTCCGTCCGATGAGATCGTTAGGAGTAGGCGCATCTTCTGACGCCTGTTCATTTTGTTTGTTATTGTTATTGTTATTGTTATTGTTATTGTTATTGTTATTATTATTATTAATAATATTATTATTGTTATTATTATTGGTAGGTCGCGATGGGGTTTTACGTGATGTTGTTAATACACTATCTCTACCTGAGAAACCATCTTCGTCATCTAGAAAACCACTATCACGCACATTAATCATTTTCTTTAAATCAACATTAATTGCTCCTGTTTGTGTATTCGGTGTATCACGATCAGTTGGGATTTGTACGCTTTGTTTTAGGTGATTTTTACCAAGGCCCGCATTACGTGATGTAGAATTTTGTGTATCATTGAGCATTTCAATATTTATTTCTTGTAAATCTGTTTGGGATGGATCTGCTATACTTGTTGATGCGACAAATACATCATCTAGGATAAGCATTGATTTTTAGTAAATTTATTCATAGATAGAATTCTATTCATACCTTCACGAAAAAAGTCATTAATACCATTTACTTGTTTTCCTTTTAGATTATATAAACGTTTGATCTATATGATGAAAATATATACACGTGAAAATGCAGGCAAAATAGAAGCCTACGTCGTCAGAGCATTAGCTGTGCATGAGAAGACTGAAAGAGGAAGCATCTCATCCTGCTAATCTTAGTTTACGTCTTACTTTCTAACAATAAGTCTTTGACGTTAAAGAAAAAGAAAAATGAGTTACAGATTTTTATAGAAAAGGAAAAGGAAAACGAGATTCTCTCTATGCCATGACTCCCGTGTAAAACTAAGAAGGATTTCTATATCTATTTTTTCCTTGTTTTTCTATTTGCCTACTACATACGTACTTTATCAGTACGATTTTTTTGATAACCAAATGATTCCGAAATATCAGATAGAAGTTGTTCATATGTTTGAACTGTTCGTCGATTGAGTAATATTGTTATGGATTTATGTGGTTTGTCATTTCCTTGTTTAACAATTGTGATTTGACGTGGTTTCGTATTTATAGATTCAAAACCGTATTTAGTTGATTTAGAATTTTGTTTTTTTTGCTGTTGATTTGTATTATGCGTTGTTGTAGTAAGTGATTGTAGAAAAAGAGAATTAGCTTGAAAACGATTCGTTGATGTTGCATTCGAATTTACATTCGGACCGTGCGCATTACCAAGTTTCGAAATAGGAATACTCGGTAAATGGCGTACATGAAACCGTTGAGAATTGAAATCGTGTAATGGTTGTCGAACTATATAAATTTCAAAAATCAGTTATTCAAGCTTAGAATAAAATCAATTTGACAGTTGCTTCAAATTTTAGTTGATCAAATCTTTTTTTCTCTTTTGTGACAGTTAATATATATATTGTTTTCTGAAGTTTAACTAGTATATTTGTTGATTGATGAAAAGAAAATTTAATCGAAAAATGAAAAAACAATATATTTGTCATCTCTTATAGATTTTAATGAATAATTTTAAATTTCTCATTTATATTTGTTTAACTCACCCGACCATACAAATGATTGGTATATATTGAAATTAAATATTTTAGGTGTTAAAAACATACTGCTAGATTGATTGTTTAGAATAATTCTCATAGACAGAATCAATAGCGATTTTTTATTCTTTTTTTAACTTTGTCATCCATTAAAAATACTGTTTTCTCTTTATTTGATCTACTTGATTACTTTTCTCTTTCGATGTCTCGAGCTCACTTCACTTATTATTGTTTTATTATAATTTTGATTGTCGTAAGAAAAAGAATATTGATTCATAGGGTATCGTTGACATTTATTAGCAATAGTAACCCCTAAACCAAGTGCTCGTGGATATATTCTATTTTGACTATTTCCGCAGAAATAATTCTTAGAATAGTCATGAATTTTTATGTATTTATTTTTCCTGCGCGCCGGGATAGACAAATGAAATATTTAGCAAAAAACATTTTGTGAAAATCTACTTGTCATCAATAAATTTCTTATGTCAATTTTCTTTATTTTTTCTTTGGCTTTGTTGTATATTTATGTTTGTATGTTTATTTTGTAATGCATCATCATCTTCGTCATAATAGTAATTAAAAAATGTCAGAAAATGAAGAAGAAAAAAAACATCAAGAGAACTTAGACATGCATCAATACGAAAATAAATCCTGGTGATATATAACTGAAGTATATTTTAATGAAGATGATGATGATCTTAGGCGAGAAAGAAATTGTGAAAGTAAAACGTTTGTTTTAAAATAAAAATCGTTAAATAAGAAGAAAATTTTATTCGAAGAAATTTATAAAAAAGAGAAATGGGTATGGGTGGCCTTCAAAACAAGTAAAAACGACATTCGAACTCTTAGAGAATATTTTTCTAAATCAATAACTTACGTTGATCAAGACTAAATGTAACGCGTGGTAAGCCAATAGCTGTATATTCCAATCTTTGAAATGGTTCAAATGAAGCACAAACATACGAAGCACCATCTTTAATAATGTTAACATCAGTAATTTCTGAGCCTTTCGTCGGCGTAAATAATCTTCGTACGCCATAAGGTAAATCAACAGCACTTGATAATTCTTGTAATAAGTGTCGAATACTTGTGTAGTTCTGTGGTCTGATAGCATATTGTTTACCGGCGAAATAACGATCACCATTACGAAATAAAGTTACTTTGCGTGGTGTTGTTCCGGGTGAATTATCAGTTTTAAATTTTGGCAATGTGCGACGGGTATTTTTCTGATAGCTATTTTGTTGTTGCTGATGTTGCTGTTGTTGCTGTTGCTGTTGTGGAATGTCAGACATTGTACTACGTGGCCATGGAGTTTGATTCGAAAGAACATCCGTCATTTGTTAATACAGTGATCAAGAAATAAGAGAGTTTCGAATAGAGAAGACTTAGTAATGAACGCCACTGGATTTGTAGATCAGTTTAAAAAATAAAGAAAATTTTTGACATGCAAACACGCAAAAAAGATCATATTATCAACAATAAGATCAACAAAAAAATAGTCAATTTTTATTTCGTTGCCATAGTAATACCATCAAGCCATATTATTTGACTGTGGCAAACTAATTGAAAAACAAATGTAATGGTGACATCTAACGACATCTGTGAATTTTTTATTATATCTGAATCAATCGATTCAGTACGCCAACAACCGTGAATCTCGACTTAATGATTAATTATTAATTTAGAAAACAGATCAGAAATATCCTTAAAAGCTTTATATTTCTAAAAATTACAATTTTTGTCGATTCTGGCATTTTGTATATTAAGAAAGCTGATTTTTTTTAAAGTTCTAAACTTTATTATAGCGAACTGTTTTCAAAAAAAAATTTAATCTTTTTATTATTATTCAATGCTGCAACGCTAAGACAAAAAATGTAGCGTGACGTTCACGTGATGCTTGTATTTTTTTGTCTTTGAATTCAATTTATTTCATTGATGATACATGATTCATTGGTTTAAGGTAAAATGAAATTGATATTTCAATAAAATGTAGACCCGATGAATTTAAGAATGTCCTATAAATTCTTACTTGAAAATTTGTTTTCTTCTAAAGAAATACGAGTTTTTTTTAGATATTCAATATTTCAGGAAGACTATATCCATGTAGGTTGAAAATTTCAGTGTATCCTAAAGTTTACGTCCGATATTTTAAGGACAAAATTTCAGTTTGAGATTCCGGATCGTCTCCTCTTTTAGCTTAATTTAGCCTTATACTCGCTTTTATCAAGAACAGGAATATGAGAGAAATCAATTCAATTGGCCAATTACCTTCCCCAAATTTTAGCTATATCAAATACTTCGGTAAAAGAAATTCTCGTGTATAGAACAGCTATTGATTCAAAACAGTAACTAATTAGTAATGTTTATTTTCATTACCGACGAGTGACACACTTTGATTCTTAAGAAAACAAATAAAATATCTATTACAGATACAGTATGAATTTTAATTAAATTCTTTTCATTATTCTTGATTTTTAATGTGTGAAACAAATGTATGGGCCATTGATATATTTCGAGTAGATATCAATACATTTCTACATCATTCACTAGTTTTTACGACCATATTTTTCTTTGCTAATTTTTCGACTAACACTAATGACTTAAGAGCTTAATTCACTGTGTTTGACTTCTTTCATTTACCTTTGATCATCATTATGACAGAAATCTCAATTTTTTTCTGCTAACATTTATTCATGTAGTCTGTGATCAGCTGACTGCATGTCTTAATCAATTTGGAAACGTCAATTCGTATGATGACTTTTTTCCTTTTGCTATAAATTGTATTCGATGACTATTTCTTGATTTACACACTACAAACTTAGATCTTCTGCTAAAATGAAATCATCCTGCTTTTCTATACGGTTCAAAATCAAAAACAAAAACATCAAACATTTTGATTCATGTAATTGAAAAGTACGTCGTCTTTCATGGTTGACAGCCTTTACCTGACTAAATTTTTCCTCTTTTCCGACACATGCGTATATTAACCAAAAGAACAAACAGTTTACGTTGGTACCGCACTTATAATTACACTTATTCGGATCAACGGCGAATGATTGACAGAACAAACACAGCATGAAAACTAACCCAATATTCTATATTTTCCATTTTATCAGATGAATTAAACTCATTTCGATATATATATATATATATATATATATATGCCCAATGGCAAATCAGTTATTCGAACGTCAAATTCAAGTAGTACTCTAGAAAATGTGATCGACCTCCTGATGATTTCAACGATTAAAATGAATAAAAAAATTCTATTAACTATACACGTGTTCACTTTTAAATCTGTAGTGTTAACAAAACAACACACAAATCAGTCTAGATCAACTATTCAGATCATATCTTTATCATTCGAAAATAAAAATTGTTGATCACGCTTTTAACATTTTTTCCGATGTGCATAAAGCAAAGTATGAATGAAAAAGAAAGAACATTCCACAAATAGCACCATTGAACATAGAAATAAAAAAAGAAGTAAAATTACTAGTTTCTTTGAACTTATTTATACACATGTTGATATCTATTATACATCCAATTTCATTTGACAACTTATTCCTCCGCCTTGTTTTTTTTAACAATTGTTGTTTGAGAAAAATAAGGTGAGCAAGTGCGACGCACATGAACGGCAGCGTGCTGTGTGAACATAATTATATGCATGAACGATCTATCGATCGTAGTTTCCTGCTGTGCACTGATAGAAAAAAACGTTTTGGATTGGATATGTACATTTATGGATAGCCAATGGGTAATGTTTCCGAACCGAAAAGAAAAAAAAGAAAACGAAGGAATCTGTGAGCTATGAAAAATTATTAATAGCCAAACATTTTACCAGAATCAATATCATTTTTCTCAACAAATCGATCTCATAGTATTAATTTTCAAATGAATTCTTCAATGGACGGTAATGTCATCTTTAAACATAATCTATCCTCATCAGAAGATAGTACATCAGTATCTACATTTGCTGCGCCTACCAAATCTCGTCGTGGTCGTAAACGTGTTACTGATCCAATATTAGCTACACAATTAAAACATCATCGTCGTTCACGTGCTAATGATCGTGAACGTACTCGAATGCGTTTACTCAATGAAGCTCTTGAACATTTGCGTACATTATTACCATTGGAATCACCAGTTTATTATTCTTCAACTGATTCATCAACCAATGGTCCTACTCTAGAAGATAAATTAACTAAAATTGAAACACTTCGAACGGCTTCAGCATATATTCGTTTATTAACTGATGTACTTGAAGATAATAATAGTAATACTTCATCATCAACATCAAATGCATATTCTTATACTATGCCAAATACTCAACAACGACAACAGCAACAACAACAACAACAACAACAACAAGTATATCAACATTCTTCTTATTTTCCCTACACATCATCGTATTCTTATTATAATCCTTATTGTTAAATTATTTATATATATATATATAAAAACAAAAACTTTCGTGTTCTGTTCTCTCTTATTTTGAAATATCACAAATAAAATAATTTTGTTCTCCTAGAACTCTCAAATAATCATCGAATGGTATTGAACATGAAATCGTTCGTAAGCCTATATTGAAATTAATGCAATCAGTACGATCCTGATGAGCATGTTCTGGTAATGTAGCATTTGCTAAATCATTTGGCCATTCAGGATCATTGACGGAAAATAATTCGACATGAGGATTGAATGCTAATGGTGGCGGATGTGATGTTGATTGAGACATTTTTGTATCGATTAATGTTTTAACAGGTTGAGGAAATAAAGCACCAAAAGGTGGCACAGCACCTGGTATACAACCAGTAATCTTTCGAACTTCTTCTTCATTAGCCATACGTAATTTTGATGAAGGTATACCAAGAACAGAAGCTATTTTTTTCGTATCACATGATAAATGTGCTGGAAGAATCACTAATGTAAATTGATCAGTATTTTTCTGACAAACAAGCATAGCTTTGGCTCCACTATGTAAGGGAACTTGTCGTTGGTTGGACGCTTCAATACTTGTACGTACAGGTGGATGACGAATAAGTAGAATAGAAATTGGATTATCTTTGAACGACATTATATGTCGTATGATATTTTGAAATGTACCATTATCTTCTGTCTGAATTTCGATCTCTGTTGCGTTAGTAGCTGAAGACATCTCTGAAAAGAAGAAAGTAATTCTTTTTAACTCATTCATTATTGTGGCTCTTATAAACATATCAATAGAGAATATCGTTATATCTTCTTATTTCACATCTTCGATATTTATTGTTTTTTATATTATGAAAAAAAGAAAGAATTGTCACAATTCAACCGAAAACAAAAACGAACATAATAATTCATAGCAAAGAGAATAGAATGGAATACATAATCAAATAGAAAAAAAAAACAAAAAACTGTAATGAGAGAAACACGTGCATTTTATTAGATTTATCATGTGCAAAAGAAAAAACACAAACAATATCAAAGATCCAAATGACTACTACTGTTTTTTTCGTCTTTCTCACAAAAACACTTTTTTTTGTATTAAAAAATATCTGCCAAATATTCGGTGAGTATCATAGATAGGTATATGTATATACATGCATATGAGAAAGTCTACATATTATAAGCAACAAATATAGGATCGAGTTGATCCGATACAAAACCATCACGTAAGTGCATACGTTGTTTTTCACCACGTGAATTGACCGGTACAACACCCGGATCAACAATGACAAGAACGCCAACAATCACATAATGTTCTTCAAGAATTGCACTTGTTATTAATGGTACAAGATCAAGCGAATGTTGTTCAAGACCATCATATTCAACAACAACCACAAGTAAATTGGTCCAAGTAAAGCAAGCACTAATTAAATAAAATAGAAGTTTTGGAAAAATACTAAATAAAAATGCGTACCATTCGCAAATGCGTTTATGTGTACGCATAACTGTATTTTCGATATCAATTGGATGAAAACGCATACCACGAATAAGCAGTGTTTCTTCGAGAGAACCAACTATATAGACAGCATCGTGATTCTCTAAAGAAAAATAATCAAACGTAAATTTATTTTCATTGATGCTGATAACTGTAAGACGAATCGAATTTTTTTGTTTCTATGCGTCATTATTAAAATTAAACTTATGAAAAATGAATTTAGTTCGGTAGTAGAATTTAAGATCTTAATAAATCAAAATCAGATTGAAAATGTTTTAGTCTATCATCGAATACCAGAAAAACGAATCTCAACAAATATGCATTCTTTCCGTCGTAAAACAACAAAGAGCTTGAACTCTTTTCTAGGTATTCATAGATCATTACGAGTCAAAATTATGCAAACAGACCTGACTGAAAAGTAAATAGGTACTGTCAGGGCTTCTCTCATTATGTACTCTTATGAAAAATATCTTACATATTTGTTATCTTTACATGTTATAAAACGATAACTGACTGTGCATAGGACTGAAAACAAGACAAAAAGTTTACTATCGAATAACTCACTTCCATCTGCCGCTATCGATTCTGTTCGACGAACAAAACCTAAATAGCCCGTTCTAGCATACAATTGTCGCGTATCACCCGTCGCCAAATGAGAATAAAATTGATCTGAATTATGGTTTGATCCATGATGTTGTTGATGATTATCACCATAGCTAACTATCTGACAGCCAAGTGAATTGTGGCCACTTTGAACCCATAACTAAATAATTATTATATTTGTTTTTACTAATACATCCAAAAGGAAAAACAAAGAGAACTACTTACTTCACCTAAATGTGCATCAGCACATTGACCTTTACTCTCTGGATTGGCAATAACGACTTTGACACCCGGTAAAAGCTATTGAAAAGTAGAAATTATTTTTCTCGATGCATACGAAAAACTTCATAAAACTTACTTTTCCTGATTCCAACAAACACAAACTATGTGGACTACCTTTTTCGACTAGAGTTACACGATCATTTCTTAATGCTCGCTGATCAACATAGACTGGGGCGGGATCAGGATCACTTGCTCCTCGTAAACAAATCGCAATATTCACACGACAACCAAACGTTGTACTAACAGTTCGAGGATTAAGACCTAATGTTTGAAATAGTTTAATAAATGAATTCAACAATTGTAAACGAGGTCGTTCTTCAGCTACGACAGCACATGTTCGAACGCATGATAATGATAAACCACGATTCTAACAAAAGCAAAACAAATTACAAAAACTAGAAAAAATATAATGAATTTAAACAAACCTTAAGATCAACAATCGATGTACTCAATCCTTTTGTGCTAAGTTCCATCACCGAGTAAGAGCAAAAAGTATCACGAACTAGAAATACACATCATCGATTAAAATTTTAATCAAGAAGTGGAAACGAATTACTTTTAAATTGACTAATTGTATTCATCCATACTGATGGATTCGATTCAACTTCAACTGGATCAATAAGAATTGAATGATGACCAGCATAGATACTAAAAAATAAAAATAAAAATAATTTTTCATCTAGAAAAAGTCAATTTCCTGTTTGATCGAATCTCAAACGTCTTTTCATTCGATAGAAATCGTGTTTAAACTAACCTGATTATACACCATAGTACTAAACCAAGTCCATTATATGGATCCAAACAAAGAACAATTTCTCTACTTGGATACAATTCTGAAGATAATTTTATTGAACGACATAAATTAGCTACAGCACCATATGATAACTAAAAAAAAGAAAAGATTAAGTTGTTGTTGCTTTTTCTTGTGAAATAAAAATCTCTATGAAGAAATGAAAACACACCTTTACAGCAGTTAACGAGCCTGTTGTTGAAATACTAAAATCCAAATAACAAAGTGATTGAGCTTGTGTTGGCATTGACTTTTTTGGAAGCAATTGATTTCTCTTTTGCTTAGGTAGATCATCTGTATCAATTATCAATGGCCATAATTTTGGATCGAGTAATGCTGCCGCTTCCTTCAAAAGAAAAATATATTAATCTCTGCTTATAGAAGCTCGGCAATGTCACCAATAATCTACATACTTTACATCGAAGTAATTTTGCAATAGAACTATTTGTTAAAATAACTTTTGCTTTACTTAATTCCACCATCATTTTTACTGTTGATAATGTATTCAGAAGATTTTGTGCATGTGGTGGCCGAATAGCTACTGGTACAACATCTAATAAACAAAAAAATTAACCTTGGTTTTTTTGTCAATGCGAAAAAAATTCTATATTTTATACCAATATATAAACAAGCATAAAAAGCCGAAACAAGATCGACACAAGGTGGATATAACAGAGCAATATAATCAGATGATCGCATTTCCATGCGTTCGAGAATTGTTAATGCAATACGTTCACTACGTTTATGCAATCCAGAACATGTAAGACTTGCTGATTCTTGTCCCTAAATATGATTAATAAAAAGACTCATCAAACTCTTTATCAACGAAAAAAATTCTATACGAACTTTTGCATTTATAACTGAATATAGAACATGATCCGACATGGTTACTGAACGCCATCGAAGAATATCATCAATGTATTGAAGCTATAAGTATTGAAATTTTTATTAATCAACATATATTATCTTAATAGCAAACTTTTTTTCCTTGATCAGATGTATCTTGATCGTCATTGAAAATCATATCAGCACCTTTGGCTTCAGCTAAACGCATACCTTGAATAATAGTACCAGCTAAAATAGCACCAGGACCAACTTCTCGTTCAGGATGATGTTCACGTGGTTTAGGTAAATTTAAAATACACGAATGTGGACACATAAGAACACTAGAAATAAAATATTCATTCAATCAAAAAAAAACAAATGATTTCTCTAATAAACATACGAGCACGGATGTAGATTTCCTTCAAGAAAACGCCGGCGTGTTTCTTGAACATGAATCGTACCTGAATGTGTCTATTATAAGAAATAAAATAAAAACCTACTGAATATCCAGTTAAAAACAAGTCAATTACTTTAGGTAATGTATTTGCTGGACATAGAGCTAGACAATAAATTCCAACTTGATGTATAGAATCAATAGCTTGTAATACACGACTCATCCATTGAAAGCAATCGTCTTCACCAATATCTGGCCGTTGTTCAGCAACAATAATTATTCTTTCATCACGTAAAACACGTATAGAAATAATAACAATACGTGCACGGTAGACAACTTTCATTGGTTCAACAGCTAAAGCTGTGGCTATTAAATCGTCACTATTATGTTTACGTCCAGCAACTTGCATTAAACCTTCACGACTACCAGTTACAAATAAAAGACCACCCTAAAAAAAACAAAATTCAAGTGATATACATTATCTATTATTATAAATGAACATTCAATTTAACTTACTGGTCCTAAAAATCCTAGTAAACCAGATCGAACAAATTCTTGTGTTCCAATTGGTCGTTCATCTGAGCCTAATGGTATGACTTTAAAAACATTTGTTGATAGACCTGGTAATGTCCAATAACCATTTGGCGTTGCTTTCGACGATATAATAACTTCTCCGATTTCATCTGTTTGACAAAGTAATGGTGGCCCATCAATTTTAACAATGCCAATAATAGCACCAGGTAGTACATGACCAACATCTTGTATAGTCAAAGATGTTAAACTATTGTCTTGATCAACACGTACAACACCATAACTTAATGCATGCATTGAAAGTATTCCACGACCGGACTGATGTGCTGACGATGATGAATGATATTGCCTGCGAATCGATAATGTCAATGTTTCCGATGAATATGAACAAGGACAACAACAATCAGACCGAAGACCACGTGGCATAAACGTTGATAGAAATGTATCAACAGCTGTTAATGACCATGGATTTGAGCCATCACTTATAATTAACACACGTAATGATGATAAATTTATTGTCGATGATATTTGATTCATATCACGTAAAGCTAACACAGCCCAATGCATATCACGTGAACGTACAATAGCTGCTGTTATATGATATTTTGTTACTGATAATAACCATGATGATGGTTGAGATTTAAGTATTGATGTTGGAATAAATACAACTTGCATGCCCGATAATATATTTGCATGTATTGTATGCCATAAACCAATTTGACGTTTAAAATCTACACAACATAAACATATATCTGTTGATGAATATTTACACGCATTGACCAGTGTTTGTGTATGTACAAATAATTGTTCATAATTAACTGTAACACCAACAATACTACCATCTTTAACAGATGTATATTCAATATAGGCTGGCGTTGTTTCGTATGATGAACGTGGTATATCATTGATAATCCAATCTTTTGGTGGTTTAGCTAAATGTTCAGTGATGAACCAGGTTAGATTTGGCCAACCTTTGAATGAAACAATTTCATTTATATTTGTTGATGAAGAATTTGAAGTGTGTTGTTGAATTTTTGGTAATTGTCGATAACATGAATCAGATGTTAATGCAACTTTAATCGACAATTGACCTAGAAGTATGCCGATACGTTGCGAAAGCCAATCCTAACGAAGGAACAATAATAAAAAGATGTTATTTGTATGACTTCGCAATCATTTATTTTGTTCTTCTTACTCGTCGTGCTAATGGAACATCGATCGGTAATGGAACAATACCAGCAAGTAAACAACCATAAAAAGCGCAGATAAAATTAATTGGATCATTACTTGAATAAACAAGAGCAACCTAGATTTGTAAGAAAACGAGAGAAATTCTTAGTTTTTTTCTTCTTCTAAATGTTTAAACATACACGATCGCCTGGTTTAAGTAAATTCTCTCGAGAATTACTACCAGTGGAGCCATGCGAATGAATTTTATGAAGTAAATTATAGGCAATTTTTTGTGAACGTGTTAATAATTTCACTAAAATAAAAAGTTTACTATTTAAATAACATCATAAAAAAGGCAAGTGTCCTATTTGGTCAAAAAGTTAATCTATTCAATGAACATGTGATGACATATTGTGTCAGAATTGGAAGATCTTCATTGAACTATGTACTTGGAAAGTCGTATTTAATGTTAAATTATTCATAGAGTTTTATATCGTATTCTTCTACATAATTTCGTAAGTGTCAAATTGTCTAAACCTTGAACTAGTCAGTATTTAATCAACCAAACAAATAGTATTAAATTCATGTATACTATATTATAGTCAATAACGAATGAATGGTCTATATAATTCCGTTTTCTTGATTAGTTTAATATTTTATCGGAATTTATAATAAAATAATGTCGCATGATTCAGAGAATGTAGGTGCCATTGAATCACAAGTCATTTGAAACGAAATAGAGAATATTAATATTTGAAGATGAATTTTTTGAATTTCAGTCTGAAGTGACTTTCGTTGGATTAGACGTTTAAATAGTATTGTTTCTCTTTCCTTTCGTATTATTTTCTTTCTAAATATTTGACGAACAAAAACGGTTTTGAAGCCTTGCTAAAATAAGAATTTTGTCCTTAGTCTGCATATTATATTTTTTCTTCTTCAGATTAAAAAAAATATGTTTTTATTTCCATCTTCGTTTTGAAAATATTTCATATACTCACGAAATGTAAGTGTTTGTGAAGGTTTTGTTTGTTCATCAAGTATTGTGATAGCGTTGGTACGAGGCTGCTGACTAGCATGTTGTTGTAAAGCAACAAGAAAAGTCTTCGGCCATTGTGATGAAACTATCAATTGTTCGCCACACGATGGAACCGATATTCCACCTTCAGGTTTTGGTGATAGAGGATCAATTGGTGAAACTTCAAAGTAAAGCAAATTAAGACAGATGAGCTGACAATAATAATAGTAATAATACACTTACTTGCTAATTCTTCTTCATTATCTTCGTAATATTCTTTCATAGGCTTACGTTTTGGACGCTTAAAGAGATAGAAGAAATAAATTGAAAAGCCACTTAGGTCATTATTATAGATGACTTACTTTTAATGTATTAACAAGCGCAAGGATTTTCGATGAAACACGCAGACTTGGTTTACGCTCTAAATAACGAGTAATTAGAAAACGATTTGTTTTTATAATAATAATAATAATCATAATACTCAAGACGATTCGTCTGGTAGGAGATATTGCAGGTGCTATAGCATCAACATCTTGTTTATTATAGGGATGATGTTCGTTCAGCCTCATCATCATCTTTAAAGCTTAGTTGAATAGTCACTGTTGATTATTCTCTCCTTCACTTTCTCTTTTACTTTGTTCGAATACCAATGAGGCGTCGTATTTCTATGTATGACATTCGACGAGGGGAACGGCAAAGAAAAAGAAAAAAAGAAAACGAATTGAAATGTCAAACGACTCTACATACGCAATGTCTTTCAAAGCATGATGTCAACGTGTAACAAGGAAGAAAAGACTTTTTTTTACTATCAATTCATTCAACACGCATAGTCGTTCTTTCTCGTAGGTATAATGAAAATTTATGCATGCCTAGACAATAAATACGTATTCTTGATGAATTATTCTCTATCCAACAATTAAATAAATGATTGATCATTACTCAAATCTCCATCTTCTTCTCTTTTTATTTTACCTTCATTTTGATGATTGATTGAATTGCTTATAGATTTCGGTGAATCTATTGATGCATTTCGATCACCATATAATACATAGTGTTGTTGGCTTGTATTAACATAATCTGAATTTGAATCACGATAACGAGCACCAGCACTTCGTGTTAAATCACATTCAATATTCGATACTATGATAGAGCAAAAATGATTACAATATGCAGTAAAGCAAAACAACAAAAAAGAAATGAAAAAACCATTATGCTGATTAAGTGGCTAATGGGATTCAAATGAAAAGAAAATCGCTAATACTCATGAGACTTAATTGATAATTAAAAAGAAAACAAAAAGTTATTTCTTTTTTTTATAAAACTTACGTGATGGTTCTTGACTACGATGAATAAAATCAGATAGAAATTGAGGTGGTGGCGGCGGTGCTTGAATATCTGAATAGAATTAATTATGTGAAAGATAGAAAAATTTGAATACGTTACTGTTACTTCTGATTATTGATTCAACTGAGGGTGGATTTTGATAATGATGACTGTGTATTGGTATTGGAATAGGTGAAATAGATGAATCTTTATTTTGTTGATCATCAGTTGTTGTTGCATATGTTGAACTACTTGCACCATCATCATCATCATCATCTTCATCGTCAGAAAACTCTTCTATAAAAATATATAAATTAATTAGATAGAAAAGAATTCTTCGAATATTCTTTTTACGTTTATCTTGATGAGAATTAATAATACGTTTCGATGAAGGAATAGGACGAGCACCGAATTGTTCTAAAGCTTGTTTAACTGCTTCTTGCCGAACATCTAAAATGGTTCAATTTTCATGGAAATCTATTTTGTTTAGATAAGTAGATTTCCTACCTGAATGATATCGATTGTAACCATCACGTTTTTGACGTCGACAACGAGGTTTTGATTGACGATTTGAAGGTTTTTCACAGTTATTATTATTATTATTGTTTGTATTATTGCTAATCAGAAGTTCATCTATTATAGAAAAATTATCTTGATCCATATCTATGATTTATTTCTTCAAATAAATATCTCTACTTACTTGATTGTTGTTTTTGATAGGGTGCTAGTAATTTAGTACGTTTCTTTTCGAAACCTTTTTGTGTTATATCACCTATAGAATTGAAAATTTTCGATGTGCATCAAGACGAAAATATGTCAATAGCATACCTTCGGCTAGTTCCAGCTCAAGTTCTTGTAATTTCTGTTGAATATCCAAAGGCAATACTAGATTATTGGAGATTGCTGCTGTTGTTGCCATTTGGATCTTTGTTTCTGCTTAATACAGATATGAGTAAAATGTTCAGAAGTACAGGACCACGAGAGTGTCAAGAATAATTGGTCTGCCTCGTAATATTGTAAATGATTATTCAATCGTTTGAAGAAAAATAGGCATGGCAGAAGTTAGAGGGTCTTCTTTCGTTTCTATTCGAGGTCAATTTGTGAATACGGTCGAGTAAACTATCTTTTTTCTATCTGTATATATGTGGCAATATAATACATTATGCTAGAAGCGAGGGATAACCCTGTCAATCAATCAGCAGGACGCTATTTTATTCTTCTAGAATGAATGGTTGAACGAAGAAATTGGTTGCATATTTGCTGTTCTTTAACGTTTAGTCTATTTTGATTCGCTAATAGTTTATACCATAGATTTATTATGTATGTCCTCGAAATGTTTTCTTATTTACTAATAGTTTCTAATTAACTTTTCATATTTTAATAATTCAATAGGTTTTCCTATATTATCATATTTTTGTAATAGAAACAAGGGTATTACTTGTAAATGTGATAAAACCATTACGTGGCGCCATCTTGACTATATTCATTCTCGAATACTTCAATACATTTGTTTTTTGTATTCTACTAATGTATTTATTAATTAATAAGATATTTTAATACTGGAATAAGTTTGTGATAGTAATTGAAATCGAATATGTTAACATTTTTATCATATCTAAAAGATGTTTATGATGGCAAGTATCGTTAACATTGTATTAAAATACTTGATATTTACTTAAGTGATGTAATACGAGAGAAAAAAACTTGTAGGGTACTCTTCCCGTTGGTCATATACATAAGTGGAAACTTCTTAAGCTCAAAGCCTCCAAGGTGAACAAGGTAGCCGAGCGTCTTCTATATCTCTCATGTGTTTACGTCATTTACCTACTCATATGTGTATCCAATTGATATACGGAAAGAAACATTTATTTGGTTTCTCTAATCTACTTCTTCTACAGCTTATAATCAAGTGATAGTTTTTCTTTCGATTGATAAAAAAAATATAGAATAAGTTCATCTTTATTGAGCTTTCGTACTTATCATTGGATTCTTTTGTCGAGCTTCTTAATTCCAAATCAGTTCGTCTAAATAACTTTACAATCGCTAATTCAATAGAGAGAAGAGGAACAGAATTTATTTGCAAATAGTTCAAATCATTTATTACGTGTTTATTATGTACAATTTGTCGTGTATACTTTAGTATTATCAGTAGTTGCCATGTCATCATTAACTTCATTCGAAAAATATGAAATCCCTTTTTTTTTATGGTAATCTATAAACAAACAGTATAAAGGATAATGAAGAAATCCAAATGAATTTTTTTTCTGATTACACTAAGAATAATTCTTAATTAATAGTTGACATGTTCGAAAAGTAATAATCTAGAAAAGAAATTCTTTTATCAATACAATTTTTTTTATGAGTGACTCATCTATTTAATCAAGTCTCATAACAATCTTTTTTTCGATATTTAAATTAATCGTTAAGAAAATTTTAATGATTTACTATTAGAGAATCTTTAATAACGCACCGACTTTCAAGCACGGATGGCACTAGTAAACATCTATAAGGATTTTTCTTTTTTATTGAATTTAGAGGATTAAAAGATGATCTGTTCATGAGCAAAATTTTATGTTGAAATGTTGTTGTTTTTTAAATATCTAAATATTAATTAAAAATAAGTAAAACAAATAGAACTCGATTCTACAAGTCCCATAAGACAACTTTTTTAACTTCTATGATTCTCATTAAGCCGTCTTTTATGTCTAACATACAACTCATAAGACAAGTGTCAATAAGAATAATTCCCTCATCAGATGTATAAACAAACAGTTCTATTCTCAATTCAATCAATCTAATAAACTTTTATTCTAATTAAATTACTTTCATTTTTATTTAATTACATTATCATAAATATATTACCATAAAAAGTTGATCATCGTAAAACACGTATCAATGTCATATAATACCTTCCTACACATTTTATGCTTCCTATACCAGAAGAGTAAAAAACTTTCCTATTACTCACTAGAATATTAATAATACTTCTCAGAAGTCATCGACATTTAGAGAAGAGAAAATTCGCGTTTAAAGTTTTTAAAAAAACATTCGAAATGAATCTTTCTATTTATAGAAAATGCTCGTTTCATTTTTTTCTAAACAGTATAATCCTAATTGCCTTATTTTTGTTGTGTTATGTGAAAAAATACTCGCTAAAAGAAATATTGTTGTTATACTTACTTCTCTTGATTGCGTCCATGTTATTTTTAAGGATGTGTAGGCGATGTATCATAAATTCAAGTCTATTGATAATTTCAATTCTCTGTTTTAGTCTTGTTCTAACAATATGAAAATAATAATAAATTTATGAAATTTGTGCTGCTGAGATAAGGGATTGTTCTCTTCGTTCAACAAAGAAAATGCGTTGTTATTTATTTATCGCTTATTCATTGAAGTTCTACGAGATGATCAACCAAGGATAAAATTTAATTATCTATTAAAGTTCAACTGTTAGATAATACAGAGTAAAACATTTTTTTAAAATTTATTCTCGATGAACTGGCCGAGTATCGCGCCTCTTTCAATATGAAAAATGTACTTTGAGCGCTAGACAAATGTTTTAGTATACAGACATACGTTTCATGTTATCATGTTTTTTGACATATGAGTGTAACGATTACTTTAAACGCAAGGACGAATATAAATAATTAGCTTGTATAGAGCGCGCATACAATATGCTCAATTATTCTGCATGGCAACATTTTTTTCTTCGTGTCAGTAGTTATAATAACCATACAATTAAATCGTAGACAATCAGTAATTAATATATTGTTGTTTTGAAAATTTCAACAACATACAATAAATAGTTGTCGTAAGTGATTGACATAATTCAAATAAAAACGATAATTAAATATCATTCAATAATCAAACTAATCTAATATTCAATCATAATACTTGATTAATTTCATTTTTACATTTAACGATTGACAATCTTGTTCGTTTTTGGTTGAAGGAGTTTTGAAATTTAATTTATTAAATTATTTATTCAAAAAGGAAAGAAACAGAGATTGCAAATGCATGCACATCATATCAATAGACAATATTGAGAATAAAAAAAGAGAAACAAAAACTATTATGAAAGACATATCTATGCTGATTCCACAGAATGTTGATGCCAAATTAGATTTTATTCTTTGCGGCAAGAACAGAAAGAACTAGAAATGAGAAAATACACAGATTTATTTTTTAAGAAATCATAGTAGGAAGTTTTGTTCTTACCAATTATGAGCGTAAGGATTATCACAACAATAATAATTATAAGAATCCACATCTGAAATAACAGACAAGAAAATTACTAATGAAAATCACAATTTCGACTAATAATTACTTTAACATTTTTCCACCAATATTTATTATGAACTTCGTGTGCACCATAAGCGAATTGTTGAGAGTAGTTATTTAAATCCTCTATGTCAATAGAAAAAAGCCTTGTTCATAAAACTCGCTTTTTGTTCAGTCTGAAATAATTTTACCTGCTTTAATTTCAAGATCATCTAGATTTGCGCCACGTTCTATTCCTAATCGTATATTTTGTCTCATTATATCTGTAACCTATAACATAAAATAGATATGTGATTAAAAGTCTTCATGAATTTTTTTTATTCTTCATACATCGTTGATTTCGGATTGCATTTGATGAAACTGATCGTTGGGTAAATAATAAACATCGGTCGAATGAAAATTTGGATTCATCATACCAGTTGTTCTGTACACATAGATAGAATAAATAATATATATATATATGTTCAACTATAATCTTTTAGGTTATGATATAATTCTTACATGAATGGATGTTTTACGAAGGGCAATGCGATAAATAAAAACAGCAACGAACGAAAAGTTATCAATGAAACAACAGAAAACCTTGTGATTACCTATTAATTATTCATGCAGTATATATAGTCTTTTTTCGTTTTTTTTGTTCGATAATGTAATATGACTCATACGTATTGAAGTAATGCAGTGTGATTCACTGATCGTATCATCGACGCACGTGTGTCAAAGTAATGTTTCGAAATTAACTTGCTACGTCTGTCTACTTCTAAAGAATTCGTTAATAGATAGATGTCTATGGTGAATAGTAAACTTAGACACAATAGTAATGTATAGAATTTTGTTTTGTTAAGGGGATCAACTGGGACACTATAGTTCTTTGATGAATAATGAATCAAATGGCCTTGTTGAACAAATGAATTCAAGGTAATTTATTAAATTTGTTAATGCGAGACAAACATTCTGTCCAAACAGTATTTCATTCAACAGAAAGTAATAAATATGATTCTATCGAATCAGTATTTAACCCTATTCGATTTCGTCGACAGAGAGAGATTGGTCACAAACTTGATAAAAAAAAATGTTCTGAAATCATCTGAGAAATTCATTTTATCATATTGCTTTGCAAACAAACAAAGTTTCGCGTTTGACAACTTCTCGATTGGTCTAATTCCTCTCTTAGTGGAAGCTAATAGTGTCTGTCGAATGCATACAACTAACAAAGCAATCGTTTTCTTGATGTTTAATGTATTAGGAGGTGACTGTAATCGGGGACAAATTTGAATATATCGGTCGCCCAATATGCTCTTTCAGACATTTTTGAAAGGATGGACAGTTCATTCATACAGACCTTTTCGTAATAGATTCACTTACAGGCTACAAAAAAAAGTGTTTTTTATTTATACTATTAGCTGAAAGAGTCATGTGAATGAGTGTATTGCTTTTCGGAATTTTCAGAAAGAGTCAAAAATAAAGCACACAGGAGTCAATGAAGCGTCAGCTGCATTGCCATGTAAATTTGAATAGAAGGCATGATTCATTTTTTTATGATTAATAATATTTCCTTGAAAACAACAGCGTTTATCAGTCATTCGCAAAGTGTTTATAGCTGTATTAGATTAAGTTGAGTTTTATTACACATAATCATATTCGCAAACTTGAATTTCCTATTTCCATTGTGAAGGATGCCTGACTAGTTATTTTGCGTAAGAAAAAAAGTCGAAACACATGACTCAGGTTAATAGTAAGAAAAAAATAAAACAAAATACAACAGCTAAATCAAATATATAAAATATTCAATGAAACTGTGTTGTTGTCATTGAGACTTGTCTTGAAAACTGTTCATCATACGGACGTGCTTGTTGCATTACATAGACCTAGAAAAATACTTCTACAGTTATCTAACCAAAAAAAAAAAGAAACCAATAAACTTCACAAACCATATCAGATGGATCCATATGATAGCCATGTGGTGGATAGCAAATAACAATACGTTTATGACCACCAGGTATTTTATTAGGATTATTCGAGGGATCGTTGCGAACAAGCACATCTAATAAACGGTATATACCCATGACGATCATTTGAAAACGTTGAATAGCTTCACAAAATAATACACTGAACGTAACTGGATTGGTCTAATAAATAGAAATCAACAATGTTTCAATAAAGAAAAAATAAAATAAAACCGTGTCCTACTCTTATATCAATATCTGGTATTAATTCTCGAATTTCTAAAAGCGCTACACGAGCACGATTTCGTTTTTTTAATGTATCATATGTGTCACATTGTGTAAAACCACCACCTTCAGCTAAAATTTCTTCTAATTGCAAATCAACTCCACCGGTTAAAATATTTCGAAGTAAATTAACTGCATTATCATTATAATAAGCCTTTAAAAAGAAATCATTTTGTATATTATTTTAATTTCTTAAACAAAAGGCACTTACACAACTTAAAATACAATCCAGTACACTATCAGCAAATGCAGCGCCTTAAAAAAGAAGACGTAATTTCTTCGATAGTAAAAAAAAATTTAACTTTCATACCAGATGCAAATGGTGTTGTTAGAAAAAATTCTAATTCAACTTCATCGGTATCACCTATAAATAAATGAAATAATAGAGATCTAATCAACGAAATTTGATGTTTACCTTGTTCAACATATTGAACATTTGAATCAATTGCTAAATAGATAAAATGGCATGTTCGTTTTATTTAAACTAATTTAAAATATTATATTACTTAATGTTGTGATAGTACGAATTTTATTCTGAAGTAAGAACATAGTTTGATTAGTGTTGATGTCGAACGTATTTTGTCCTGTCAAATTCATCACCGATGCAAAACCAGCTGATTTCATTTCGATTTGTCGAATATTTAATGTGCAAAGAACAGATGACTTATCAACTAAGTATGTATCTTGATTGTCACGATCCAATGTTGACATAATCACACATTGACGACAATCTTGAATACATATTAATTGTAAATTGAATGGATTACTTGGTGAGCCCTAATAGAGTAGAAGTTTTTTTCTTTGATTAGAAAATAAAAAGATCGATTTCTGTTTATTACATTAAGAATGTATATATCAGGAAACGTTGATATCATATCCCATTCATTTTTAATATAATCAAGATCTGTTACAAATATAATTGTAGGCAATTCGTGACGATGAAATGAACTAGCACGAAGAGGCATAACAAAATTTCGTAAGCCAATGGTGGGCGATGAAGTATCAGCATGAAGACAAACGATAACATCTATATGAAATTAAGTATTAATTGTTGACAGTAATACCGGCATAGAGATAGCTTTCACTGTTTTAGAATACATTTATTTTAGTCTTCATTTTTCTCATCTCCTGGGGCTTTTGTTTTTGTTAGATATTCGAGAATTGAAAAAGTGACAGCATCAGAACCAAACAAAGTCTCATAGAAACACGCTTATACTTTAGAAATTTTCTTTAAACATTTGCAACTTACGATCTTGAAAATGCACTGGATGGTTTGGTCCGATAAATTTCGGCTTTTCATGTAATTGGAAACTACCATTTCTTAAGGTATTCTGTCGACGAAATGCCAAACGACGTTCACGAAGACAGTCTAGATTCTGTAAATAATTATCATAATATAATTCATAGTTTTCGTTTCCTATGACTACTACATACAAGAACAGCTTCTTCAATAGGTCGTGATGGAACAAAATAAAACATTCCAGTTGCATCGAATTGTGACAGAGTTTCTTCTATTATTCTGATTCATAAGACAACAACGATTCAATTAGATTAAATGACGTAGCATTAGGGCAAAAAAAATACCTAAGCCCAGAACTTGCATGCAACGAAATAAGCAACAAACAAAACATATAATAATAGTGATATATCACAATATTTTCTACGTACATAAGCAAGGTATACGTCTATCAATACAACAATGTATAATACGTACGGTTCACTTTGTGTTAGTGATGCTGAATCTGTTGGTTCTGGTTCAGATAAAAGTAAAGGACAACGAGTATCACGTTCTGCTAAACGTCTAGAAATGGCACAAAGTTTTTTTCAAAAAAAGGAGATTTTTCGCAAGAAACTTGAACATACATAATAGTACTTGTGTGATTCTCTTTTTCAACTGATACTTGACTTTCTACTACGATATTATTGAGAGAGATTTCTTGCGAAACTATGGTTGAATTCAAAAGAAAAATTGCATATTTTAAATGTATCTATAGAATATTTTTACAATGTCGACATTTTTTCATTCGTTTTAATTGTGTTTCTGTTAGCCGATCAACATCTGGATAACAAACCGAACAATAGTATTTCACTCTAGAAAAGAAACAAAATCAAGAGTTAAAAAACATAAATAAATGATTGCAATCAGAAATCACCTTTTTGAATCATTGCTTGAACTACAAACAATAAATGCTCGAGTTCCATGAACAATAGTACAATCTGTTCTTGGTGCAACGTCAACAATCATTCTCGTATTTCCATTTTCATCTGTATGTTTCATTTCCACAGCTAGCATCATCACACGAAGTTTAAAGCAAATTCTTAAAAAGTAAAACCTTTCGATTTTGCAACAATTGACAACTAACTCTACATACAATGCTGCCTCAGTAAATGATTTGCCATGAAATGCACGTGGTAATTCTTCAAGGTACATTTCCATAGCTGCACCTCGATGATATAATTCACGCCATAGCCATGTTTGTGTCTACGAGAAATACAATCAAAATAAGAAAATTTGTCTTCATTCAGTATGTAAACCCCACGACAATATATACTTATATAGAGACTTACACTCTCATCAGTTAGATTTTCATGATTACAACAGATGTTTTGCTATGAGAAGAGAATGTAATCTTATGATGTTTTAATACAAAATTAATTTTAAGATTGTACAATATTCGAGTATTAATTTAAATAATAAAAAAATTAAGTTTAGGACGCATAACGCTCCATAGGTATAAACTGTAGTTGTTAGTGAATGTTTTCAATTTTTCTTCTAGAAAAAACTAGCTAGTGAAATATGTTGCTCTTCTTTGCGTCACATTTGTAGCGTTAACAACGAATAGACACAAGCATTAAGTGCCTACGTGACAACAAACTATCGTGTTTGTAATAGAAGAACTTCTGTGATGTCTTATATTTCCTTATTATACTATTTTTAAGCATAAAAATCATGTCAATGTCGCAAGTGATCTATTGTTCTATCTATCAATTTCATCGACATACCAATTCTTGTGCTGAACGAGTTTTGTAAGCTGACATACGAAAAATATTTGTCATCTAAATAATAAAATTCAATTGAAAAATAAAATCCAAAATTAAAATTCAATCCATGAATACCATTGTAGAAAATCCTGGTACAGCACAAGACATTCCAATTAGACCAAGTTTTAATTCTGCAATACAAATAATTTCATCGCCATCTTTTGAGCTCCAACCGGGTATTGATGCAACATTCATCTTGAGATAGATTTATTTTTAAAATAGATTTATGCAGAATTTTTTTTTTTAGATTTTACTTTATTTTTATAATGAAGAAGTTGTAATAAAATTCGAATACGTTGATTAAAATTTTTTATGCTTATGACTCGCATTATATTTGCAGAATCATCGCCATCAGGATCTGGACATTCTTTATCAGCAATGATTAAACATGCAGTTGCTTTATCAACCTTATGATTGAGAAAGAAAGAACGAAAAAACAAATCGTTATCAATTAAAATGTTTACTTGAACACGATGTAAATCAGCAACATTCATTACAGTACCGACGAAATATTTCACCTTTGCATAATATCGTTTTAATAGTGCTTCCATTTCGATGTCGGGAACTTTTCTATAATTCATCGAAAACAATATTTTTATCCATTCAGATTATGAGATATACCTGTTTATTATAATAACATCGAGTTCTTCAGCTTGATCACGATCTTTATGTAAGAAATCGCGAAGGAAAGTTGTCATTGAATGCGGTGTTATATGTCCACAAATGATTACATGACTAAATTTGAAATCAATTTTCACTATTCACTTTTAATACTCAAACTAAAAACTATAGTCATCATTTCCAAAGTGATTTATTTTTATTCTTGATTTTATGAATTTTTTTCGATTTATTGTTAAATGCAATACAAACAAGCCTAATAATGTTGGGCTCATTTTCTGTATGAATGTTTACGCCATCATTCTTAATCATTCACACATGTGGTGAAGGTATAATTTATGTGTTCTAGAAACTCCTAATGATTTTTCTAACGCTAAAGACAGATCCGAGTATCTAATTTATTATCAACAAATGTCGTGACATATACTCCTATTTCTTGCTGTTAGCACGTGGTAAAATAGTGAAAAACTTAGTCGTAACCATACATATCGCAGTGTCCTGATAAATCCCGAGGGAAATACCCTTAGCAAATAAATTTTTCGCTGGAATCCTGACAAGCGCTGTGATTTATGATCGTAACGCTAACTCAACGTGATGCAATGCTATATATCTAAAAGTTTCAGAAAAGAACCATCATCTCATGAGAATTTTCTACTACAATTGTTAAATCAAGGTCACTGAGAAAAAGATCTATCTGTTCGACTAGATATTATAATTAGCTCTTCAATGCAAATTCTTAATTTGAATAAAATTCGATCTGAAAACTACTATTATCATACGCGTGTTAGTGAAGTTCTAAATGAGAACATTTTCTATAAATCATTTTATCATGTTATTTTTTTTTTGTATAGATAGTAACGAAGTTATCTAGAAGACGTTTATTTGTTTCACCCAACATATAACAAAATCAATCATTTTGACTTATCTTGCATTCTTAACTATATAGATAAGGATGAGTCATTTTAAAGTGCCACCGTCAATTTCATTGAATACTACTTGAAAACACGGAAACACTCGAGGTGTTTGTTTATTTTTCAGTTACGTATTTTAATAGTCGCAATTGAATTTGATTTCCGTACAAACTATTATATTTTATGTCCGAAGGGCAATGTGATAAAATCAAACTAGAAATAATGAATATGCGTGTGCGTGTTGTTGTCTTTATTTTATCGTCACGTTTCTTGTGATAAAATAAAACACTTCCAGTTTACTTAGAAGCCTATTTGACTAATGAATAAGCTTCTCTTGAATCAAATCTACTAGTGGTATTATGATCGGATACAGTTACGACTTCGATCATGCAACTGCAAAAATTGTTCTTACCGTTTGCCTTTTACAATACGATAACGACCTGAATATTGTCCATTTGATCCAAATAAATTTGAAAATTCTGGAATCATCGTTGCAAAAAATGCCTATTCAAGAAACAGGAAATAAAACAAATATATTCACAAACTATTTTACCAAGCCGCCAATTAAAAATAACAACATAAAAAATTTTCCGATGTATGTTTTACAAAAGACATCTCCATAACCAACCTATTGTATAATAATAAGTTATTATAATAAAACAAGCGAATTTAATTTTAATTTTTTTTACTGTTGTCATTGTCACAATCATAAAATAAATTGCATTGAATACATCTAATTCTTGACCATTTTCAAAATTACAAAAAAAATCGCCTGAATTCTCAGCTAAATGCACTGCGCCTGCAGCTGCAAACCATACAGCAATAAATCGTGACGCTAATTGTACAATACGTATAGTACGTGGTCGTTCAATTAAACCCATATATTGAAGAATATCTGGAATATTCATTATGCGTATAGCTCGAAGGAATCTGAAGCCTAGAGATTCCCATCAAATAGATCAAGATAAAAAGCGCTGGAGTAGGAAAGATTTATAAACATTTTACCTATCCAATTTCGATTAAGATATAAAGCAACAAATGATGGTGGAATAGTAAACATATCAACAATTGAATATACACTAAACCAAAATCGTCGTTTATGTTGTGAAGCAGTAAACTAAATTAGTAGAACGGTCTTTTTTTTTAATTAATTAAATAAATAATTAAACAAACTCGAAGAAAAAAATAAACAAGAAACAGTATGTTCAAGGCAAGATCAGCTTGCATTGTAAAAGATTTGTTAAATTCAGTACATGATTCAATGAATCTAAATAATAAATATTGTTCTTTAGATTTCCTATTTTTTCAATTATAATTTGCTTTAGCAGAATTAATGAGAAACGTTGAGTGTCAATCTCCTAGTTCTTTCAAAATAATAAAATGTGTCTATATATATGAAGTGTAATGATTGTAGTTATTTATAGAATTTTTTTCATTAATGTTTCACCTTCTTCCAACGAGTCACTGATGATATTTTTCTATTTTACTTCAGATATTAGGTATGAATAGAAGAACGTTAATTTTTTTCTTCAAAAGACAAAGTACTAATTCGAAATGTCGTTTAGACTACGACAGTGAGGTCTGCCAATCACGAAAGGCAGAAAGATAACTGTTGCTTTCAGTCTCATATCAGTTAGAAGTTTGTTTCAGGCAAGTAAAAATACTTTGTTAATTAATCTATGACTAACAAAAGTCTCCTGGGAGTGTAATACTGAAGTTCTTTTCAATACTTGAAAATAAATATTTTCAATATTTCAATCAACAATAAAAGGAACATGTACTTCTACTATTTTCCTAGGTCGATGAAGCATAATGCATGAATAAAATATGCAAATCTCATGAGAAATTAACTCTATGATGTTTTTTTTTCCAAGATGACTTACGCATTTTTTGTATCAACAAAATAAAGTATTAGTGATGCAACACTACATATAAAAATAATGCCAACCTATTGAAACAACAAAACAAAAAATTTGACAATCATTCAGTTTCAACAAACCAATGTTTTGCCCATTTTTGTTTGACCAGATATTAAATTATTTTCCCATTCTTTTATTGCTTGTAACCAACTAAAATAATTTTCAGATGTATCATGATTCAAGTGAATGTTGGATGCCCATAACGAACTAGGCCGTCTTGTACACTAAAATAAAATTAAAAGGTTTGTTTTTTGTGAAATACAAATAAAAGAATTTTTCTTTAAACATAAAATTACATCATCTCCATGACTGAAATTTTTAAGTGTTTTAATAAGTTTTAATCGACGCTGTTTTATCAGCAGAGCTTTCGTCACATCGTATATAAGAATAAGAATCCAACCGCCAAATAAAGTGAATAATGATGAAAATAAAAATGTTGTCCACATGCGTTGGCCATTGCATAACGGATCAAGACTTTTGGTTGCGAATTCATTCGGAGTCGTTGGACAATTTCCCATTTCTTTATGGCACTCCTATCAAATGACAGAAGAACGCTATGTAATGATGAGAACTGGCAAGGGAAAGGCAACGAGAGAGAGAGAGAAATCAGCATTTTTTTCTATTGGTGAATCGTGTCAATCAATCAAATTGTGTCCATTAATCTCTTTCATGATCTAAACAAAAAGGTTGACATCTATACAAAATACTTAAATATTCATTAACGCCAAGTAAAATTATGATTTATCCATATAGTTAAATAAAAATCAATAGAAATACAAAATATAAATCAATATTTTATTGTTGTTCTATTCTCCTCTCCATGTATGCTTTAATAAATCGTATAACGAGACAACTATTTGACGTGTGTGCTTCATGTATTTCAAATATTAAAATTCATTATTGATGCCAAATAAAATACGTTTTTGTATCGTATGTAAACGTTATGATCGTAAAACTCGATTAAATTATACTCGTATCTATACACCGGAACGTGAAGAAAAATTACTCGAAGGTTATCGTCGTCGATATAAAGGACAAGAATTAAGTCGTCCTATATTAAATGAACTTGTTCATCAAAAATGTTATAATAAAATAGTACAAGGTGTATCATCAAATGATTCGAATGAAATTTTGCCATCTATTGAACAGAACGAAGATGTTACTGACGAAGAACAAGAGAAAGACCAGGTTAGAAAATATAAAATCATATAGTTTGGTCGAAAAGTCGTATGTGCTAACGACCGACTGACGTTCGCACTTAACAAGAAAATGATGCTGTTATCTTTTATATGACAAAAAACCTTTCGCATGACAAACATCGCCTGTGTCATCATTGGCATGATTTATCTTAGTTGGCATAGCATGAAACTGTATGTTGCAAAACAGCTGAGTGAAGCCTATCATCAGTAAACGATGTTAATAGAATTATCAGGATAAATATCCATAGACAAACTTTTTTTATTCGTGCGCTTGCCAAGACTTAAGCTCAAGATGTGTCCACAGTCCATGACTTTCTTGCTCAAGACAAGCGCTTGCGTGTTTGCAGGAGTTACAAAAAAATGAAATATAAATTTTTATTACAAATTGAGTGATTTTGAATGCAAACTTGAAAAAGTTCTTTAATCACAGAAACGTTTAGGTAAAAATGCAAGCGCATGAGCAAGAATATCCAACGATAGAGCAAGAACTTGATCTCACCGAAAGACCTCATGTCTTGCCTCAAGATGTGCCCATAGTTCTTGACTTTCTCGATCAAGAAAGTCAAGAATTGCAAAAAAAAGTTCGACTAGAGATACGTATAAATATTGTGAATAATTAGTATTCACAAAAAAGAGGAATACCCATATAATCTCTACCAAATACGGTTTACCAATACGGGTACTCTCGTATGTTCATTATTGTTTTCGGAAGACATTTAGTAAAACATTTATGTACGAAAATGGAACTGAGTTGTGTAATAAAGAAATATTTTTATAAAATAGCACCACCGTACACTTCATCAGTTACTTGTAAAATACTGTGTCCAGCATGGCAAGCATTCGATGTTCATACTGAGACTTTAGCACGAGTATTTTCAGTAGGAGATTAGTTATTGAAATTAAAGATCTATATTCAAATTGTTTTCGAAACACAATCAAATAATGCTGGATTTTATTATTGAATGTGTAAAAGGATCTATTTTGAAAGGTCGTGATTCACACCTTTTGAGAAGTTTACGCAGATGGACGAAAATGTGAGTCAAGGTTGGCTTCAAATTCTTCTTGTAGACATAGACAGTGAGTGAACTTTGAAAACATTCCAGTTTATACGATGAGTATCAATGAATAAAACACTATGCAAAAGAGAACGACAACGGAGAAAAAAAGAAGAACAGTACATCGTCAGACAAAGAGAAGCCTAGTCTAACTTTTTTTCTGCGCTGGACATGCGCGCACCTCAAGTTTGGTCCATAGCGCATGACTTTCTTGCTCAAGACAAGCGCTTGAGTGTTGCATGAAAATACATCTATGAATTTTTATTAAAAGTTGAGTTGTTGTGAACGTAAAATTGCAAAAACACTAAAAAATTCTTGAATAACAGGAACACTTGCATAAAAATTCAAGCGCATGTGCGAGAATATCAAGCGATAGAGCAAGAAGTTTAAGAGCTTGAGCTCGTCGAAAGGTCTCAAGCTTTGCCCGTAGCGTATGACTTTCTTGATCAAGATTCTCCAGCATCTCATGAGCAGACCAAAATAAGTTCGACTAGGGAGATATCTTCAAGGACTTTAATATTATACATTACTGAAGTATACGTTTCATGAACTAACATGCTTATAGAAGGCACACTTTGCTCACATATTCTTGATAGAAAAAAATCGTGCTAAATGTAGAGGTCCAATTTTCAATTTTAGTCTCTTCATACAGTTAGTATTCTTTTTTTCCTGGTGGAGTCTGACAGAATGATTTTCGCAGTTGTTTGAGAACTAGAATTATCTTGCTCAAAATTCTGTAAAGAAATCATCATTTTATTTTGATTCATTTAGACATCATTGATACAATTTCGCTCACGTATGCCATTTCCATCGAAGAGTAAAAAACATTTATTTGAACGTCGTCAACGTGTTTGTGCTATTTGCAATCGTTACGGTTATAGATCTCATAATAAAATGAAACAAATCGTATCGAATTTTATGGCAAATAAATTAGCCGAAGGTTATTCATATATCCATAAAAAACCCTATGGTCAATCATTACTGGATGCTTATATACATGAAACTTGTTTTCGTAAACTTTATTCGAGTTACCGATATCATACATCGAAGAAATTTATGAATCAAAGTCCTCTAAGACGTCATCAACCATTTGCTCGTCAAGTATTAATTTCTCCACATGGAACACGAAGTCGTTCTAATCTTGATAAACTATCAATGGAATCGGAATCACCAGAATCTAGATCGAAGCCGTCAACTGATGAACCTGCTAATCTATCTATCGAACGATTGTTCTCTACACCATTATATACATCGACAAATACAAGTGCTGAACTTAGTGCTCGATCTTGTCTTTTTCGACCATGTATACAACGAGTTAGTTTTTTCTATTAGCATTTATCTCGATTATCAACGTAAAGTATCTTGTTTTAGCTTGCACCAGAAGAAGTTGAATTTTATACAAAACGAAAATTAATATTGGAAAAGATCAACGAAGAAAATCCACCAATAGATCAATTGCCAACGATTCGATCATCGGTTACACAAAGTATGATTTAATTTTGCTTTAAACGAAGATTAATTTTTTTACTATCTTTTACTTCATAGCATTAACAACCGATGCTTCCGTAGTTTATTCAAATCAAGATATTGATGATAATGATATTCAAATCATTGAACAAGATCGATCTCCAGATTGGACACCAACACATCTATCATCATCTCCTTCCGTATTTAACAAAGCACAAAATGTAAGTAAAATCACCAACAATCGAAAACTAATAAAATAACAGAGATGATTTAAACTCCATGTAGAAAAAATTCTATAGTTTTAGAAACCGTTGAGTTTAACATCCTTCGAGTAACTGCATCTTTGCATTCTGACACGATTACAGAAAACTTTTATTTTCATCATTTATTAAATAGATCTGTACAGCAGCAGCAGCAGCAGCTAAAATTCGTCGTCGATATTTAAAACCGCCACCATTAGCAAAACCAACAAATCCGCTTATACCTGATCATACCTATATCAACAATATTACTGTAAAAAAAACGCCAGTTAATCTAGAAAAACTAGCTGATTGGCTTATGGAAGAATTAAAATCATCTCCAAATCCTATGTCAATGGGTGAAGTATTACAAAAATATAAAGAATTACTTGAAGGAGAAACTGGTACTACGACACGTGAAAATGTTCACCGGGAACGATTAAGACATCAATTGGAAAAATACTATTCAAGTAAATTTATATTTGTCACACCAAATAAACGTGAAGGCACGTTCGTTGCTCTTCACGATATTGATCATTACGTTCGATATGCTATAAAAAATGCTAAACAAGAAAAAGAAAAAGCCACGGAAGTAAAATCTCGAATTAAAAGGCGAAAACAAATCACTATTCATGTTTATTTTATTTTCAGGCTTCAATTTTATCTTCGATTGTTTTACAACCAACACCTGTTGATCATTCACGTCAAACATGTGAAGCCGTTATGAATGGTATACGTAAAATTCGTTTGTATATTCGTGATCCAAAACAACTTGATTCGTCGCCATCATTATTCATGCGAAATGTTGTCGGCTTAATGTCGACAAGTGAAAAACAATTTCATAAAATTTCTCAACAGTATGATTTTTATCGAATGATTGATGAAGATCTTTTCGATAATGGAAATGATAAAATACCAAATAAAGTCGATAAAAGTGTACGAAATATGAGTTTAGCATCGGATTTGATTAGTGCACGACACGATAATCGAATTTCCAAAAAGCATTTTCAATTAGCTGATGAATTTACAAAGAAGAATTTTAATTCGACACCAAAACAAATTATAACATTATTAAATCGTTACGGCCATACATGTTCATATAAAAGTTATACGAAAATGAAAGCATCAAAAGAAAGAGCAACCAATGAATTGGGACCAGAAATTATAGATGAAATTGAAAATATCATTAGAAACGGTGATAAATCATCTGATTCCGAAATGGATTTGATGGAATTCTAATACTTTTATGTTAAGTAGATTTTCGTTACTTTTGTTTTTTCCTGTGTTTTGATTTGTAAATAAATGTACATAAAAAAAAAGAAACAAATATAAAATATTTTCTCAAAATTCAATTTCTACTAATATAAATAGTTCATTACCAAGTTCCCCAAAAGATTTCCACTGTTATTGATGGATCTTTTATTTTTATTTTCGTTCAATGCGCATGAAAATCTTCCGTTTCATAGTAAAAAGAGCTGTTAGTGAAATTCCTGTGTGATTAAAATGTGAAACACGATGGAACTCCTTTGCTGGAGCCCGTCTATCACGGTCTGTGAGTCTTTGTAGATTTTCTGCCACTGTCTGTAATCATATATGCAGCCTTTCGGTCACGGTCTGTGTTTTGATCTATGAAGTCGGTAGAGACCATCACAGACCGTGACAGAGAAATTAATTAATTACCCTGCCCCAGTCTGTAGAGGGGGGTCCAAATTTCTATCCTATATACTTCAACACTTCTTTCAGATCGTGTTTCACAAGAAGAATCACTTCGATTATGCATATGTCTCATCTGGTAGAAATATTCTCTCTCACAAGCTATACTTGAGGGTTGTCTCTTTTAATGTGAGATTGACGAAGTATAATATATCTATTGAGAGAAGCAGCATCATTCTAAATCGTTTTATACTTCCTCCAAGTTCATTTGTGTGCACGATGCCAGTCTCCAAAGCCAAGAATTGACTTGTTAGTAGGAAAAATTAGGCTCGTGCAAGATCATCTATTCTTATATTGATTATTCACTATTTCAATCGATGAAATGAAAGCATTCAGACAGTGTTTAACTATAGTTTATTCGAGACTATACTTCGATCATTTGTTTTTCTTTAAGACAAATTCCAAGATGAAAAACCAGCGAATAATATAAATAAAAGTAGAGTTTTAGCAAGAATTGAGCTTTGTTTTTTTCTAAATCAAAATCAATCCTAATATGCTATGCTTCAAATCTTCTCAATATGACGACTATCCGGGTAATCCTACAGGGAACAATATTGACGTAAACGGAAAACAGCGACAGGAAACGTGCGCCATCTAAAGTGTCAAGGATATCCATTGTGTACGGCTTCAGCTAGAATCGAATCCGATCTAATATTTTTTAGTCATATATATGTTTCTGTATAATCAGGTGATTATTAATCGTTGACATTTTATGGTTTCGAAAAGCTAACTTCGTGTACTTTTATCTAAATGCAACGAACTAATACATCTGCGCCAACTACAACGATAAACATCGATGATATCATTGCAGTTCTTCGTAGTGCTACACAAAATCAATATAATGCTCGAGAACTTCATATAGTGGTTTGTTTTGAATTTTTATGTTTTCTATATCTAATGTTTCTGTTTTTTATTATGATTATAAAGAATGCAACTATTGAATTGAATGTAACTAGTCTATTCGGGCAAGATTATGATTATCAGGTCTATTTGAAATTTAAACGAAAAATAATTTCATTCAATATCTTCATTGTATTTTTAATTAGTTAATTTCCAATGCCAGCGGTGAATTATCCTTATATTATCCCCGACGCATTCTGTTACCTACAGTCAATAAATGGTCAACTATGACGACATCCAAACTTCAATCAACAGTCGATATTCGTGATTTATTTGTTCGATCTCGTATTGCTCGATGTCGTTCACGTTTTGTGACACCTGTCATATTAATTGATGGAAAAGTCAGTTTCTTTTTTAAAAAGAAACTTTTTGTTTCAAAATAGTTTTTATTCAAGTATATTTGTCGATCGTCAACAGTTGCATCATGGGGTGAAGTATATTCTCGCTCTGGTGTTGATCGTTTCTTAGATTCGGGAAATCGAACAGCAAATTCATCGCTAGTTGACACTTCAATGAATCCAACTGCTGTTGCCAATGAACTTGATGGGCCACCAAGTATGGCGATTGTCGGTGCAGCAGCGGCTGCTGCCGCATCATCATCATCATCATCGAATGTCGAAGTACCTCAGCAACAAAATATTTTTGATAAACTTCGTGGTGCTGATATTGATCTATTAAAAGTGCTTGACGTTAGTTCTATTGTTAATTTAATGGTTGAAAAAAAGAAAATAATGTTTGGTGTTAGGTAAGAAATTGCATATTAATGAAGGAATAGAGTGAGAAAGTTTCATTTCTTTTTTGTTCAAGTGTAACATCATCCGAAAATTCAGATAAAGAAAATCGTTATCGTGATTTTCAATTATTGATTCTTCCATATCCAGGTAAGGAAAATCTTTTATTTAAGAGAAAATCATTTATTTATATTTGGATTTGAAGGCTGTGAACATTTTCGTGATTTTTCAACGCAGAAATACAATGGTGAATTAATGTATTATGATTGGTCACTATCGATAAATGATTCATCCTTTCAAGTGCCTGAATATCTTTCATCTCTAGTGCCAAGAGATTGGTCATCTTGGAAAGTAATTAAGTTTAAGATGAATGTTAGATTTTTATTCATTAATTAATTTAGACATGGAATTCAATAGAACTTACGAAAAATTATTTTCAATTAATTATTCGTCATCTCGAACGAGGTATTGTTTTTTATTTTCAATAAAACTAGAAGATATTATATCTATTGGCGGTTTTAGATGATCATGGACTCCTTATACACTGTATATCAGGTTGGGATCGTACGCCATTGTTTATTAGTATTTTACGTTTATCATTATGGGCGGATGGATGGATTCATCAAACATTGAGTGTTGAAGAAATTCTTTATTTAACTTTAGCTTATGATTGGTATTTATTTGGGTATGAAATACTCTGAATTTATCCGTATGATTAAATCAATGATGTTCTTTTCTTTTTTTGACTTCCAATAGGCACTGTTTACCAGAAAGATTACTTCGTGGTGAAGAAGTGAGTTATGGATGAAAATAAATAATATGAATATGATTGACTTGTATTTATAGATTCTCTATTTTGCTTTTATGATTCTTCCAAATTTGACTTCAGATGAATTTAGTTATAGAAAAACGAATAAGTATGTTTTTTCTTTCTATAATTGCAAATTTACATGCTCTTCGAGTTTAAGTCAAGTAGATGAGTTTAATTTGTTTTTATCGTTTATCACGATCTCTAGAGCTGTTTTAGTGTCATGTTACAAGTAGCTCGAAACTATAAATAATGATCCAGATCATTTCGGGACTTCTAGTATGTGTGGATATATTTGACCGAATTCAATTAGTATTCTTTAAAAACAAGTGTTGACAACCACATAATACATTTTATATGAAATAAGGTTTAGAAAGTTTCTAATGCAGCTACTTCCGTTTTGAGTCGATACAATTGAGACCATCTATTCGACACGATGATCCCTATTTTCTATTCTACTAGTTCTTCAATTTTACCACCAACCATTGAATCAGATCGAACCGAACCTATTTATTCTATAAGGTAATATTGTTTCACATTCTTCGATTTCAATTATAATTCATTATTTTAGTGCAATAACTGCATTGGAAAAATCAAATTCTCCTGTGCTGAATAGTGTAACTGAAGATGCAACTGTAAGCTTTACTCAAAATTCAGATGAAATAACATTTAATCAAAATGTTGACTCAAATGTTATTGAAAAAAGTGAAACTACACATTTAACACAACCCGTAACTCGTAAAGACAAATTAGAAGCTGTTTCTCATCTATTTCAATTATGTTATCGAACTGTGATACCAAATCAACCGCCAACAGTTAACTCCAACGCAAACTTAATACCGGACAGTTTGAGCTCATTCAATCCTAGACCGATTGGTACTGATTTTCTTTTATTGTATTTTCTTTTATTTACAGAGATGTTCTTTTATTGAAGGCCGTGAAATTGCTCGTTCAATTAATAACTTCTTCGGTCAATGGCTTACTCAACCTCGCTGATGAAATCATGATTGATCATATTGTACAAGCAAATACTTTTAGTGAATTTTGTTTGGTTCTTTTTGTTGTCGAACGTTTTCTTTTTCGATTCTTTTTTACTGTGATTTTTTTCCTGCATTGAATGAACAGGCACAATTCAAAGGGTGTTATTTTCAACCAATGTTAAATTTTTGTTTTCCTAAGTTTATTGTTATTTATTATTATTGTCACAATTGATAGATGAAGTTATATTGTATTTAATTTAAAGAAACAAAAATAATTATCGATTATCTTCAGAATAATTAAAAACAGAAAATAACGATATCCTTTTTGCTTCCAACGTTTGAGTCATATGTTTCGCGATATCTCGAAAAACATGGAACAAGCTATGAGAAATTCCGATAGCATTGTCATATCGAGAATAAAAATTGTTATCATATAATTGTATACAAGTCTAATAAAAGTAGCAAAAAAGAAAAGAAAATATTACTTTAATAATCCTCTTCAAAATAAAACTGTTGTGATGTCATCACTTTCTTCTGCCTCTCACGATAGTATTCCCATCATCTTCTCCATTGATAAAAATGAGGTATCTGAGTCAAATATCTCTGCTAGTGGTGCAACTTTATCATATAACTATACGTATGCATTTAAAAACCTCTAAAAAGAAGAAAGACAAAATTTTTATTTTTTTTTAAATGAATCAACACATACTTCAGCATTCTCAAAGTCTTGGCGTAGATGATTAATGGTTGACTCAAAGATAGCATGTAAAACCTAAGTTGATGGACGTGGTTCTACTCGTTACATTAACAGAAAAACAGTTAAATGAATATATCAAACACTTCTTAGTTTTCACTGTAGGACAGAACAATAAAACTTCTCCTGCAGACATTTTTGGGATACGTATATCCGATAAAACGAGAAAGAGTGTATTGTTCTACATCACCACGTGCTGTACTGATATGAATGTGGAAAAATCATCATGCTTAAGCGCGTTCTTATACAGATATTTTTTCGCCTTTTATTTATTTTATGTTATCGTTATGCTTCATTACTTCATCATCACTATGATTCGTACGAGTAGTGATATTCTTTTTTTTTGAACTATGGTAAAATTCATAAAGGCACATGTTAACTTGTTTTCTTTAATTCATAGAGCATATATTTTTATTTCTTAATTTTTATGTTGAAAGTTGAATAAGAGATGGCGACACAATTGGCTATTATACAACCTCAAAATCTCGAGACATTTATTTTAATATGGCTTGATAGTTTAGTTAATAAATCCGAAGATAATATTGATACGAAAATGTTACTTCGAAAAACTATTAATCGTTTAGTAGCATTTGACGATATGGATAGATGTATAGAATATGTTAAAGATCATGATGAAGAAAGAATTGTTTTCATTGTCAGCGGTCGACTAGGACAACAAGCTGTGCCTGTTCTACATCATTTAGCACACTTGGTTGCCATCTATGTTTATTGTGGAGACAAGAAGCGAAATGAAATATGGACTAAAGAGTATATGAAAGTAAATCTAAATTGAATAACTCAATGTACATAATAAAATAATATCTTTCAGATCAAAGGTGTAATTGATGATTTGAAAGAACTTATAATACAAATACAAATAGATCAAGCAAAACGAAATGAATATAAAATAGATGAACCCATACCAATTAGTTATTATTATACAAAAACAAAAAAACAAAATTTAACAATGAATAATGATGATTTTATTTATTCTCAATTGTTATTCGATTGCTTAAGTCGAATGAAATCGCAACCAAATGAACGAGAACAACTAATAAGGCTGTGTAAAGACGAATATCAAGATAATGAAATTGGATTAAATATGATTCGTGATTTTGAAGAAAAATATTCATCTGACCGTGCAATATGGTGGTTAACCAGAGAATCATTTGTTTGTCGTATGCTAAATAAAGCATTTCAAGTTACAAATATTGATTTATTATATTATTTTAATTTTTTTATTGGTGATGTTCGAAAACAATTAGAATTAAATAAATCTAGTTCTCGAATACGAACCTATCGAGCTCAAATTATGTCAAGTAAAGAACTACGATTGTTAAAGCGTTCGATTGGAGAAATAATATCCATTGATGTATTTCTATTCACAATTCCATCTCGAGAGCGAGCAATTCAAATTTTACAAGAATTCAATGTATGTCATGATCTAAAACGAGTGCTAATCGAAATCGATGCTAATCCTAGCTATCTGAATATGAAACCATTTGGCGACGTAACTTCATTGAATTATTTTACCGATGTCGAAGTTACACTCTTTATGGCTGCAACTATGTTTCATCCGGTTGATATAAGTGAAGAAAACGATATTACAGTTATTCAAATGGAAACATGCTGTGAGGAAGATCCAAATGTAAAGACAATTTTAGATGCTATAAAAGCAGAAGATTATGAAGGTAAACCGAATCTACTTTCACTTGGCTATATACTTTCAAAGATGAAAAAATTCTATTATGCTGAAAAGTGTTATAATCAATTGCTACAAGAAATGCCCGATGATCATTATGCAATGGTTTCTTGTTATCAAGGATTTGGTGCGATAGCAATGGAAAAACAAGAATATGATGTAAGTCTTAAATGGTATCAAAAAGCACTCGATGCTGACAAAGCTAAATTAAAACCTGACGATCCAATCATTGCTTCTGAATATAATACTCTTGCAGATATTCATGTTAAGAAAGGTGAATACACTCAAGCAATTCAATCCTACACTAGAGCATTAGACGTATGGATTGCAGCATTTGGTACGGAGCATCTAAAAGTGGCAAAATGCTATAACAATATTGGTATTACGTATGAAACTCAAGAGAAATATTTAGATGCCATTGATTATTATAAAAAGGCTGTAATTATATATCAAAAAACTCGTTGTGTTGGTTATTCTGAGATAGCTACGTTATACAATCATATAGCAAGTATATATGCTTCCATCGATAAAAATACTAAAGCATTAAAATATTTTAATACAGCTTTGAAAATCTTAACAAAAATTCATCCGTTTGGTCATCCAGAAGCAGTCAAAACCATGAAAAATATTGCTGCTACACATGAAGCATCGGGTAATGCAGAGGAAGCTCTTGCACAGTTTGAAACGATAGCTTCGATACATCGGCAACTATTACCATTAAATCATCCAGATGTCGCTGATATTGCAGACAAGATGCAACGTATTTTTTCTCAATTAAAATAAAAATATTTTAATTTTCTATAAGAAAATAACTAAAATATCGATAAGCTTTCATCACCGTATTATGTCTTGAATAACATCAGAAAAATATATGTTCAAAAGCATATCGGTTTGTTTGTTTCTTGAAAGACTGTTTAAAGTAATTTTTTAGTTGACAAGCATATTTTTGTTGCTTGAATTTTGCATTTTTTTTCACATTTTAATTAAAATAACATATTTCATTATTTTTTTTCTGTATGTTTTCAAAGCAATATTTATTACTGATATAACTTTTAAAAGATATCTATAATAAATTATTCACAAAGTTCTTTAGTTTTAATTTTCAGTATAAAAAGAGAGAGAGAAAAAAGAACTTTTACAATAAACGATACAATACTGTTATTTATTAATTCTCAATTTCCATTTGAATTGTTTGACTTTATTCTCATTTTTTTCTTTTTGATTATTTTCAACATCATCTGTATTGATTGTAATTGTGGATGATGATGATGATGACTCAGATTCAGATTTTTTTCTATCCGCACTTCTTGATAAATCCATTGCTAACGAACAACCAGATTCAATCATACTTTCATCTGGTCGTTGACTATCAAAATAAATATTGTGTTTATTGTGATTCGATGAAAATAATTCTTCATATGAAAGTGCTCGACGATGTTTTGTTGCTGGAGGCTTTAGTAGCAGTGAATGATGATGACGTAAAGATGATTTTGAATAATTAAAAACAATTGTTGTTAATGACATGCTACGTTGATAACGTTGCGAAGGATTTAATTGATGATTCTTTAGATATTTTGATGCAGATGAATATATTAGCGACGGTAAAGTTCGATTTATTGATTTTCGCTGATGAGCAAAATTTGTTACGCTTTGACGCCAATCTAGTGGAATTTTATCATGACAAAATGATGAGTCACGTTGTGGTGGGTTAACAGTTAGAAGTTGAAGTCGAGGCAATGGAGATTCAATTTCTAAATATTAACCTTAAGAATTGTTTTCTAGGCATAGATTTTTATCTGATAAGATCATATAGAATCTATCGAAATTTTAGTTTACTTATCTAAGTGATTGTACTCATAAATTTCATTACTCATCAATCTGATATATGAAAGCTATTTTAAAATTAGGAAAACAAATAAGAAAAAAAATTTGATGAGTTGAAATTTCTATGGAGAAATATAATGATTCTACTTGTAGTTTTTACCTTTAACGGATGTATCTTGCTCATTAGCTATTTCTTGTTTGCATAATGCTTCTAATTCTTCTTCTTTATCATGTAATTGTTTATGTAATTGTTGTAATTTTTCGCACAGTGTTATTTGTTTGTTAATATTCTGTTGAACAATGATTAATTTTAATTGTGTTGATGACGGCTGAGTTATACGTTGAACTAATGTTTCATGATCATCATTCTCGACTGTTTTATCATTAACAGATAAAATAACTGATCCAGGACGTAAGCCTGCTTCCCATGCCGGACTTCTATCTTGTACATAATCAACATATGTTACCAATTGTATTGGTGGTGTTTGTGATGACGAACAAAATAACGTTGATGCTGATGACTTGCGGCTTGTTATACTTTCAGATGATGAAGATATAAGTGATTCATCACACGATAAAGAATTTAATGAAGTAAAACCGTATGTTTGAATGGAGAAACCATAGGATGCACTAGGTGTTGACTTTTCAAGAATAATTGTACGTGGACGATAGAGATCGGATGATGATGAACGACGGCGACAACGGAAAATCGGCCCACGAATTATAGGTGTGAAAGATGAAGAAGATACTGTTAGCATTGTATTTTATTTTTTATAGAGATTCTCTGCTCGATATTGATTTCATGTCAAACTCAAATGGATCAAACGAGAATACTGATTTTTTAATGGTTCCTTCTAGATACACTATCGGAATAATTATTTTTAAAATCGAATCATTGATTCAGATTTATATATATATATATATATATTCACGATAATTGTAATAGGATAATAAGTGTTGATGAATATTTTGCTTACTATAACTTAGAATAAAGATGACGCTAGTTAATCAAAACAGCAATGTAACGAGACAATGGTACCCAAAAATATGTTATGTTTTGCTTGATTGATTTTTCTGCCTAGTTATTTTTCATTTGATACGTTTCTTAAAATCAACTGAGTAAATGCATCACTGGATTCGTGTGCGCTGCGCTTGTTCTATAATCCACAGAATATTCTACGGATGAAATTAGTCAGTTCATTGGTTAGATTATTTAACACATTATTAAGTTCGAGATTATAGAAAATAATAAAATTCATACGAAGATTTACATTCCAACAGTTCTCGATCGGCACCTATTAGGACCTTATAAACAAATATATCTTTAGATCGATTTGTTCATTTTTAGATTTTGTCATTCTTTTTAATTAATTAAAAACTCCTGTATTATCATGGATAAAAATGCCACTGGTGGTGTTATGGCACGTGTTATAAAAATTCTTGGTCGCACTGGCAGCCAAGGACAATGTACACAAGTACGCGTTGAAATTATTGATACATCAACATCAAAACGATCGATTATTCGAAACGTGAAAGGCCCAGTGTAAGTATTTTTTCCCTTGATGACTATGTTTTGTTAAGAATGTCATTTTATTTAGGCGTGTTGACGATGTACTCGTTCTTCTAGAATCTGAACGTGAAGCTCGTCGACTCCGATAAATGTGAAGAACTATTGTTTATGCCGATTTCAATTAAAGTCATGGCACTTTATTGTTTGTTTTGTTATTTTTTCTGTTAAAAAATTCGATAACATCGACAAAATATTAGAAAACTAATAAACAAACAAATGAAACACGATAAAAAAAATCTGATTTTCTTTTGAGCATCACATCTTTGAAGCGATAGAAATCTTAGTTCGAAATTCATTGTGGGTGTGGGGTGTTAATCTTGTCTTTACGCATACCCACAATCATTCATTAGTTGAGACATAATGGAATACGCTAGAAACAGTTAAGATAAGAACAGTAAATATTGGTATCTTCCGAAACTACCATACGAATTATTTAATAAAAGAACCAACGATCTCCCACATATAAAACTCACTGAAGCCAATAAAAAACACTCCATTGAAAATTTTGCATCTATTTCTGACTAAAATTCTTCGACTGTGGTAAGTAATGCATTAGAATGAGTCGAATAGTTAATCAAGATCCTAGATAGATTGGATTATGAGGAATGAGCGGGACAATTATTGAACCGCATCTAGTGGTGAACTTATGTCTGAGATAGTTGACTATTGGCCATTGATACTGAAACTGTACCGTTATTAGAATAAATTGTGCAGATACAGCATACTTTCACAGGAATTCTGATCTTTTTATTTTATCTGGAGAATCAAAAATCAATTTGTTATAAGTGAATTTATAAGCGAACTAATAAGAACTAAAAATTCGTAACAGACATTTTCTCGTTTATATTAGTAGTGTAGTTGAATGAAACGCATGAGAGAATGTTTGATATTTAGAAAAACTGTCGAACATTTGTTCTAAATCCTAAAAAAAATCAAAGATATTGGAGCTAATTTATTTAGCAGCAGTGTTATGCACCATCGGAAAATTGTATTATGATGCTGAACATTCAACGTTAACATCGTACACAGTTTGATGACACCCGCTATAATGTTATGATTCATATCGACATGATGATAGACGATCATTATGACTTTGAGCACCATTATAAAATCGTAATCGTAACAAGTGAAAGGTAAGCTAGTCCGCAACTTCGAGACTCATATAGTTATTACTAAACTAAGAAGTTTTTAGTCAAATATTTTCATATTCTTTTTACTTTCTCTTTTTCTTTGCAGTTGAAAGATTCCTGGCAGTATGTTCTCCTTATTTTCGAAAGTATGTGATCGAATGTATTTACTCAATATATGGGCGGGATCTTTTGTACAGAAAATCTAGATAGCTTTTGAAAGAATCCGGTCAGTTTATGCATGCATGTTTTATTCATATTTTTTTGATGATTTTATTAGTTGTGTTGAGTATCGTAAGAAACATATGCCATCGATTGAATTATTAGGGATTTAGAGCTGGTGGAGTAATAATCTCCGTTTTCTTTCAATTTGATGATTTCATTCGTTTCAGGTGGTATCAAAGAGTTTCTACGAATACATTGATAGAGAGAGAGAGCATTAATGAAAATCTAATATGCAAAATCTGCCGGANCAGAGAGAGATCTTTTATGAAAAAAATAGTTTTCTTATAAGGGTTGATCGAAGGTAATCGGGGTCGGGGAACACAATGGCGTTGTTGGTTGTTTGAAATTTTGTACTTCAAACAAGTTTGTAATGGATTAGGAGCTGTTTAGATTGTCGCATTTTCTTGATAGGAATGCTTTGTAGGGAAATTTTTTGAGGATACCATTCGATGATGTTTATAGTGTTAGATGTATCGTATGGTTATGTGAGATATTATTACGAATAGGCTATAGGCATCGTGCGGTTGACTTGATTCTCAATTTGGGAGCGGCAAGCCGTGAGTGGCGCTCCGGAGGGGCGCCGACGAACGACTAGCCGCTCACCTGCACTGAGAGTTTGAAAGCTTTTCTCAAAATCTTCAGTTTATTCTTGATATATCAACTTTTATTGCATCACGAAGAATTTATTCAAACTTAACTCCTAGACACTGTTGGAGTTAAAACTGTTTTTCGAAAAAGTTAAAAGTTGAGAAAAACGCAAAAAGTTAAAATGGTTATAACTACAGTTATAACTATCAACCGTAGTTATAACTATCAACCATAGTTATAACCATCAACCGTGGTTATAACTATCAACCTGAGTTATAACTATGAGTTATTTCCTAATATTGAGCTCTCATACTTTGAAACTACTTGCACTGCTCAAAGAAATGCTACTTTTTGTATATAGACATATGTATGAAGTTAAAACAAATAAGTTTGATAGGTTTTTTCTTTATTTAAGTTTGCGAAGGGTTAGTGAATCACTGTTCTCTAGCGAAAGTGTAAATGACCAATAGGATTATCTTGTTTTCTTTATTACAGACGTTATCGCGTAGCTTGAATTTATTTAAAACAATACTGAAGAAGAACTGAGAAAGAAATAAAAATGAAGAGAGAGAGATGGTGACAGAGCGAAATATTAGGCGAGCTGAAAGTATGATCATTGTTTTCCTCACTATTGACGGTCGACGAATGAAAAGAAACAACAAATAGTGTTTTTTTATTTGTTCTTCATTGCATTTCACACGTAGTCCACTTAACATTTTCATTCAAATTGTTATCTAATTTTTTTGATTCTAATGTCCGATCGTGTTGTAAGTTTGTTATCGCCTACCAATTCAGACAGTAGCTCTAGTACAATTTCTATTAATTCTCGTTCATCGATTACCATTGAATCAACTAAACAAGGTGGTCGACAACGTGATGTCATCTGGTCACACTTTCATGATATGGGTCCTGCGAAGACACCAGGTCATCGAAAAGCAAAGTGTAAATACTGTCAGTTGTGTTTAAATTTTGCAAAATTGCACATGATGTATTCACACATATAGCACATCAGTGCGAGGAAATTGTTCTTTGTAATCCACAAGCACGTAAATATATTATTATGAAAATGCGTGACATGGATAATCAATCATCACCATCAACAAATAAAAGACGCGAGACAGAGGTAAGCTATTTTAATCACAGTTGTTTTTATCATTTATAAACTTTTTCAGATTCAAACAACATATAAGGATTCATTGCGACATAAACAATATACAATAGATAGATTTACATCCAGAATTATTCCGTTAGCTGAACAACAAACCATTGATCGATGTTTATTACGAGCTATTATTATGAATGATTTATCATTTCGCATAACTGAAAATGATTTTTTTATTGAATTTGTTAAAAAACTGAATCCATCTTATGATTTACCAGCTCGAAAATAATTGGCTAGACTATCAATAAATTAAAACTTCAAATTATGCATGTCTTTCTTTTGGCTAACATTATACACTACGACTTTTAGTTAAAAAAATGTATTAGTAGTACAGAAATAGGAAGAACAAAAAGCGGTACAGTTAAAACCTAAGCTATAGTACGAAAACTTTCGGTAATTGAAGGTTAAACATTAAATTGATGTTTATTGAACTTCAAAATATCGATAAAAAGTGTAGTTGATAGTTATAACTCGGGTTGATAGTTATAACTCGGGTTGATAGTTATAACTCGGGTTGATAGTTATAACTGTGGTTGATAGTTATAACTCGGGTTGATAGTTATAACTCGGGTTGATAGTTATAACTCGGGTTGATAGTTATAACTCATTTAACTTTTCTATCAAAAAGTTGATCGGTTATAACTCAATAGTTATAACTCGAGTTATAACTCACCTAGTTATAACTCCAACAGTGCTCCTAGAATTCTAGATTAGCGCATCTACGAACGGACGCAAACTGATAAGTACTAGGGAATCATGTCTCATTCTTCTCTAAATTGTGATGAATTCATCGCATCTGTAGATGTAACTGAATTGAATTAATCCCACAACTGTTGTTTTCGTTTTTTTTTGAAAATCCTCTTCGTTTTTNGCTCTCATGAATGGGCCTTTTTCTTCACTCCGCTATTAAGTTGATCGAAGGTTTTTGGGGGCGTAGCTTGAGCTGTAGCAGATCGGATGCACTTAACTTCAGTATCGCCATATATATTAGTAAGTAGTAATTAAATGCCGCTTTCTTGGTGATACTTCCAAGCAAGTTTTCTATTTATGCTCTGTTATCAATCGTGTTTTCCATGAAAATCGTTTCGAAGCTAGAAGCTATAAAATGTGAAGTCTCTCAGCTAGATAGTTTTGGATAGCTACGTTCCACATGACTAAATCCTTTCAGTAGAGGGTTGGCGACGCAAATGTCGCGTTACCTTGTGGTTTGGACTCAAGAATGAATATGACGAACACATTAAAGCGTGTTTATTTGAAAAATTAAGACCAATGGCCGATAGATTGTATAAGGTTATTGAAAAACAAAATTTCTCTATAGAAGAGTACCAAAGGTAAGTAGAACAAGAAAGTGCTCAACTCAGAAATATTCAAGCAGAAATTGAGCAACAAAAAAATTGAATAGCACCACTTGATAGACAAATCATAACTCTTAAAGGAGGAGTCGACAAACTTAAAAGGATAAAACAATGGCAAAGTAAGTAGATTTATACATCTTCAAAATCTCAGCAAAGATTGTAACTGTGAAAATCTGGAATGAATAAAAGATATATCATATTTTCCATCTGATCAATTTGACTTGAATTTCAATAAAAACTTGTACAATTTTAGAAAACGAATAGTCGTTCTCACTATCGCTTTAGTAATTAAAAAATTAGATAGAAAAAATATCAGCTTTTTATGCTAGATTTATACCAAGCAATATGAAGATTATGAATAAATATACGACGAATTTTATCACTAAGAAAAGAATTACCATCTTAATTTATCAATAGTATAGGTTAAAATAAAATGTCGTATATCTTAAGGGATTTTTAGCTTCTTCAGAATCTTCCATGTGAACTATTATTTTTTATTACACTGAAACAAGAGAAAAAAAATCGATTAATGCAAATCTCTGTATGTTTACTAACAAGACACCTAGTAAATAACGCTATCATATGAGAATGTATCTTTAGGGAGAGAACAATAATATACACAGGATCTGAGTGTCTTGAATTATTGTAATAATGATAAGGATTTTTTGATGGTAATAAATCGGCAGTTTTATATGTAGTTTTACAAAATCTTGGAATTTTCGACCTTGTTGTAATTCATGAGATGTTTGTGATGAATTATATGGACGGTCATCATCAGCAGTTAACATCATCTGAGACTAAATTTATGTTGATTACTGTAACAACATAAACTATTCCATAATCTTATACGATAACATAACTATAGAGATAAACTAATTCTGTATCGTAAATCTAAAATTCACTAATAATTAATAAATCGATGTTTCAAATAAACGAATATCAAGTACACAAATATATCACGGGTCAATATTTAGTACTAATATTAAATACGAATAATTTATCAACATAATATAAAGTTAACGACTTGTGCTTAAATATAATCAACAGAAATTTGTTGTAAGCGATAGTATTGGGAAGCAACTGTTACATCAATTATAGTCGATTTTAGCTAATTTAAATCGATTATAATCATACACCTGTTAATCGACTACTAATTTATTAGAAATTGTTTACAATCAGTCTTAATCGATAACAATCGATTAGTGCAGCGGAATAACTGCTTTTTCCGATTATAATTGATCGTAGCTAATTATAATCGATTAAAAGGTGTATGATTATAATCGAATTTTAATCAAAACGGTAATCAATTTTAATCTGATTTTACCTCTGTTTTTTACACGGGGACGACCACCGCATCCTCGACATCTTCTTCACATAGCACTCTCAATCTCACCTTTATGATACACTTCGGACTTAGAGTTTCCATTACAGCATCGATTTTGTTCTTTTATTACAAATTTTTCGACAAATTTTGGCTAAGATCAAATTTCGTATCGAGAAATTTTCGCCCTTTCAACCGAAATGAACAAACACAGCCGAACAGGATAGGAAGTTCTTCTAATGTCTTCTGCATCAGTTTTTTACGAGGCTCTTCTTTTATCGCACTGTCTACCAGTGTGTACATAGATTTAATTTCGGCCAAGTTTGATGAAACACAAAATATTTCTCCAAAAACTCTACCAGATTCAACAATATCAGGTATAAACTATCGAAAAATTAGTGTAGTCATTCGATTCCTCTTGTTCTATTATTTTCGGTCAAACTTTAAGGAGAACAAATAGCTTCCCTGAAATACCTCCGCTTTCGTGAACAAAAATCAATTTTAGGATCACTTGATTAATTGGTACCCTTGTAACTAGTAAAATGAATCACTGCTTAGTGAAAATGATACAGTCACAGTACTAGTCAAAACTAAGAAAAATCTAACTTAGGGAATTTTGGAATTCCCACAAACCTTCGCTTGTCAACTTCAGACCCTAATCTTTTATAATTCCAAGAATTTTGAAAACCGTTCTCATGAAGCTTACTATTAAGAAGCGCTCTGAAATTTTCTGTTGTTTTATTCGAAAAATATCTCTTCCAGAATACTTAAGATTTTTCACCATATCCCAGGACGAGCTTTACGACGTCCGTATCAGAGCTCCGCGTGGGATGGGATGGGACGCAAAAAATCTTCCCATGGGACAGATTTCAATAGCTTGTCCCATGGGATGGGACAAATAAAAAAAAAGTTGTCCCGCCATGGGANCGTTTTTGATCGCATTTCACCGTATTACGACACGGAGATTTACGATCGTAATACGGAGCCATGTAATACGGCCAAATACGGCGATTTACCGTCGTATACGACCGTGTATGTTCGACCTGGGATATGATTTTACGTATTATTCCCTACGGTTCTCTAAGTATTATTAGCAAAAACCTTGCAGTTTTTCATCGATTATATTCGATAGAAACACTTTTCCCTTAACTTTCTCAGATATAATCTCCTAATTGAATTTTCTTCCTGTTTTCTAGAGAATCTTTCGGAGAATCTTATTGAATTCCTAGAAAAATCGATATGGTATTTTTGCCTACTTTTGAAATGATGATGATTTTAGCACTGTACTAATAGAATTCATCCCACTCGATTAGTAAAGATTTCTCAAGAGTGCTTTTCACGCATTCGTGTCGTCTTTCTTATACTGCAAGAATTAAGCGAGAAAAAAATCTTCTTTGTTTTTATTCTCTTCTAGCTAATATTCGCGTTAACCCACAGAATAAGTTTTTTACACTGTAAACTAGAAAATAATTTATAGAGTATAATAACAGATATTTTAGAATAGAGTCCACACGAATTGATCGACGAATTTCTACTTTCTTGAAAATACGATATTCTAGAAGATAGATATAAGATAATTGAAAGTGAATTCGTATAGGTTTTATTAGAAATTTTAAAAATTAAGATTGAAAAAAACAAATAAATATTGAAAAAAACTAGGTGTTTGATCATAAGAAGAATATGATTAATAAGAAAAATATGAAAGTATAGGAATATAATTTAAAACATAGTATAGAAAATACCCCTTTAGAGTTCAATAAAGAGAACAATAAAATTTGAATAAAAAATAATTTAACGATTCAAAAATATTTTGATCATAGGAAGCGACTCAATACGATACGCAAGTTTAAAGATAAAAATACTACGTAATAGTCGACATATCAAATATCGATTTCTAATATTCTTGTGAGTAGTGTATAAGAAATCAGTCGTTATATTATACGTGTCTGCATTGTAAAAAAAACAGGCTTTCTACGGAACCAAATCGGATCTGAGCGCGGGCACAAGATCAGATCCTGTTTTTGGTTTCCTAGAAAACCTTTTATTTACAGTGTGTTCTATAAACCTGACCAAAACAAAGTAACAATTGAAATTTGGAAACAAGGTTCCAGAGAATGGCTCTTATTGTAGTATTGAAGAAATGTTACATATTCTCTTTTTGTAGAGCTTATATATTTGAAGAAGCAAAGTATAGTCTTTCTCTGTCAAGATTCATAAATTCCTAATGTATCATATGATAATCGAGATGTTTGTTTAGTTTCAATAAATTGATGGTGCAGCACGAGTTGATTTGTATTTAATATAAAATAATATAATTAAATAAAATTTTTAAATAAATAAAATAAAATTTATTATTTAAATTCTAAATTCTAAATGTTTTTTATTGTTTCGTTTACTGATATTTCGTCCTGGTTTATACGCACATTTACGAGATTGATGATGTCTGTAGGATAGCTGCTGTTGTTTTGATCTAGTTTTATGCTCCTTATCCACGACCTGATGTTTACCTATCATTTCCACGACCATTTCTTGATGTTAGTTTGACGCTTGACA